CAAGATTGATCATAAAGTGACCTCAATTACGGCACCATTGAAAGCCATCAGGAAGTATTAAACAGTCTGTTTCGCTTTTCTGTGAAACTCTTCATCGGTAAGTACCCACCACTTCACTGATAGATATCGAAACCAGGATCCTCGGGTTACAAAGCTAGTCTGTATGTTTACCATTGAGCCACTGGAGCAGAATCCACTGGCCAGCCGATCAACTCTAACTTCCGCCAATTCGCGATATGTAGGTACCGCGACCACCAGGCAATGTTCTCCACCCAACTTGGTGGATCTCGTTGATCACAAATCACCACTAGAATTCCAGGCAACTTTATCCTGTAGTTAGCCACTAGTGAGCACTAGATTCATTTCCAAATGATTGGCTGACATGCATTTGGATTCCAGCCCAGTGGCTAAATGGTATATGATCTCGCCTAGTATTCTGAAAGCCTTAGGTACGACCCCAGCTGGTAACCATCGGAGAGTCCCAAAGAGGGACGAAACAGTTGTCCAACAATCCTTTGTTATGGTTCACTAACAGGATTTCATCATGAGCTGACATTGGTTAGAGAACCATTGGAAAACCTGCAGGGAGTACTGGACAGCTGTTTCGTCCTAGTTTGAGACTCTTCACAGTACGCATCCACAGGTGTTCGAACTCAGGGCCTCCTGCTAACAAGGAGAGCTCGTAAACCAATAATCCACTGGGATCCGGTCCAATAGCTGGGTCCATGATGAAATCCAGTAACCAATCAATCAAATCCCTACAAACCAATACTGTAATATCGATGAGACGCTCACTGGCGACTGGCTCCATTCAGGTAGGTAGTTACCTGGGTCCTAGTAGGAATTCGTGACCAGTAGGGTGCAGCAGGTCGGGTGTGAGGACAAATACTCACCGAAGACATTGGCTAGCGGTCGCGCTATGTCGTGAATTGGGGCATTGTTAGAATTCATGGACTGGCCATTGGATAGGGTTCCAATGGTTTAATGGTCTCTGAGCTCGCTGGCCTTGTAACCAGAAGGTCCTGGGTTCAAACCCCGGTGGGTGCGCACTGAAGAATCCGAAACCAGTTGAACAAAACAGATGTCCAGTACTCTCTGCAGGTTTTCCATGTATTGGAACACGTTGCCATCCACAATCAGGTCATTTCTCAAGTCTAGTAGGAACTAGCGATTCAGGAGCTTATGAACATTTTTAATGCACACAAGAGTAGATAATACCATTAGAGAGGTCATACCTTAATCGATTAAAACAAACCGAACGAGAGAGAATATATGCATTAGAGAGAGATGGAATTTTTGGTAGCCCAAGTTTTAAGCAGGCCGCCGTAATAGTATGCCAACAAATGTTAGAAAAGCAAATTGATATGCGAATTTGAATTATTAGTCGGAAAGAACTGCTTCTAAAGACGCGCCATGAATATACACTTCACATCCAACAAAGTTTATTACAGACAGATCGACTGTATTGTCACGCATTCTCCATTAGACCCAATTTTGACAGATTTCTTCCCTGCTGAGCTTGAAAATGCTTCATTAAAACAAGTCATAGGTACAATGGATTCTTATTTTAGTTATGTTAATGATACACCTATTATTCTTGATGAGAAAGCCGACAAGAATGAAATGAAGAGCGTCCATCACCCATATTCAATTGTGAAGAAGAACATGATGGTAGATTACACTACTTTGATGTCCAGTTGAGTAGAACAGAGGATGGCTCACTCGAGAGAGAGATGTCTATAGAAAACCTACATCTCTAGGACAATATACACATTTCTTCAGCCTCGCAACAATCCGATACAAAATCAGTTTGGTCAGATGTCTCACTAGTAGAGCAAGAAAGATCTGCACCAATAATTCCCTAGAAAATGTATTAGAATATATCCAAAATGCACTGATGCAAATAGGTCATCCTAGTAGATTTGTAATGAGACACATGAAACCGACAACGGTTAATACGAAACAACTGTTCCTGAAACTGCAACTCAACGGGGACGTGGCTGGTGAAGGTCTACATTTATGATTATCTAGACTCATAAAATGAACTTAAACTGCTCCCATCCTTTGTCATTTCCTAGCCAGCCAAAGGTGAATGCTCGAACGAAAGATAAGCTAACTGCCTGAGTAACTTCGATGCACATTTACAAGTTTACTTTCTACTGCGATAAAATTTATATATAGAAAACAAAAAGCTCAACAAACACATTATTGAGCATCATCCTTCATGGCTCCGCAAACAACAAACAAGAAACCTATAAGAAGCTCTATTTTGTGTCATTTAATTGTTAGCGGTCACAAGAAGAACAGAAGAGTCTTCAGGGTTATCTGTCGCATTCCATCAAATCTTTCGAATGGAATTTGAAACCATCTTTTTCACACAGTCGAATCTATGGACATTTGTGGAAACAATCCTAGTTTTTCCATACAAAAGGAGTTTGTTCTATCCTTGTCTTTCCCTAAATTTAGGTACACCTGATTAAAATTTCCCAACCTTTCATAATCTTCATTTCTTTCGTTCTTCTACTTCTATTTCAGCTCTGATTATCTATCCACTTCATCTTTAGGATTACGCAGATTTTAAAAATTTTACCATTTTTATTACTGAATTTGCATTGTCATTATTATTAAATAATTGTTCCTTTGGGTTTCAGGTGGAACACAGAGCTTCAACCGCACATCTCCACTATGTCTTATCTTCTGAGGTGCTCTTCAGCTGTACCAACGATGGTCCGTAGTCTCTCAACCCTCCCTCGCACGACATCCACCATGTCACTCTCAGACGCCCCACTCGTTGTTTCCTATTTGAGGGTGTAGCACACCATGTCAGCCGACAGTCTCCTCAGTGTTTACCTGATCCATCTCCACTCTCTTCTGCGTATTTGTTGAGTTGCTTTACTCGTAGAGATTCTTGTTGCCTATCCAATCTAGCCGGCTATCTGGTCTTCAGTATCGATCCAGCGAAGGCACCTGTTGATAAAAGTCTGCAACAGACTGTTCAATGTGCTTTCAGTGACGCCCATGCCAATTTCCTGACTCATATAGAAGAACTGATTTAATATTTGTGATGATGTGATGTTCTTTTTTCTTAGTGCACAAGATTTCCAAACCGATTTCCGAGTGTTGAAGGTGTATCTTGTGTTTCCAGCTTCGACATCCTCATCCGTTCCACGTGTAGATGAAACGATAAGTGAAATAAGTGACCTCTTTCAAATTTATTCCGTTGATAGTGATTAGTGCTTATTGTTCTTGTTGGTACGCGAGTATCATCACCTCCATCTTCTCTATGTTTACTTGAATTCCTGACTTTGCTGCCAACCTCTTCTACCAACTTGTTGGTTTTCGCCAATAAGTCTTCAGGTTTAAGTTATATTCGACATAAATCATTCACGCGCGAAATCTAGATCTTTTAGAGTCTTCTAATCGGTGGTCCAACGTATTCCTATCTTCTCACTCCCGATACACAGTCTCCCGTATAATCCAGTCCACCACAATTAGGTATATCATCAACGATAGTAAGCAGCATTATATTATCATACAACCTTCATTATTCTTCTCGCCAACCACCCGCACTGTTGTTACCCTCAAACTATCACTGACATATTAACAACATTTAACACTTTTAATAGCTTTAGATTCACAAATTTACTTTTAGTGAATGAAAATAATTTTTATATTTAAAGCTATGTAGTACATCAGGGTAAAGCCTGAATGAATATCCGATTGAAAACAGTATTGTTCACTTATATTTCTTGTTTTACTCAAGTACTGGTTTATAGGAATTCAGTTAGAGAACCATTGAAAACCAGTGCTGGAGTACTGGACAGCTGTTTCATCCTAGTTCGGGAATCATCGGCAGTACGCACCCACTGCCAGGGTTCGAACCCAGGGCCTTCCGGTTACAAGGCAAGCTGGCTTGTATACCATTCACGAGCCATTGAATCGGTCCCAGTGGCTGAACTATAGAAAATTAAGCTGATGCTCGCTAGTGACTTGCTACAGGATGGAGTTTCCTGGAGTTCTAGTGAGAAGTCGTGACCAGCGAGATTCAAACAGATGTCACGTGTGTGGATGGATGTCCCACCAACGACAATGGTTAGGGTCGCGCTATATCACGAATGGGTGGAAGTTAGAATTCATGAGACATTGAATCGGTCCCAGCGGCTGAATGGTATACGAACCAGCTTGCCTTGTAACCGGAAGGTCCTGGGTTCGAACCCTGGCAGTGGGTGCGTACTGCCGATGATTCACAAACTAGGATGAAACAGTAGCTGTCCAGTACTCCCTGCTTGTTTTCAATTGTTCTCTAACTGATATCAGTCCGTGATCAACTCGTAAAAACATAACTAACCCTTACAAACCAAACTATAGAAAATTATAGGAATTCGACTGATGGGCCATTGGATCGGATCCCAATGGCTTAAAGGTCTACGAGTTCGCCTAGGGTTCAAACCCCAGTGGGTGCGTACCGATGAAGAGTCCCAAACTAGTTGGACGAAACAGCTGTCCAACACTCCCTGTTTGTTACCAATGTTACTCTAACCGATCGCAGCTTATGATAAAATCCTGTAACCAATTTCTTGTTTTATATTTGAAGAAAATGGGGATATTTATTGATTTTTTTTTACAAATGTTCAGTTTAAAAATAAAATTTCATACGGAGATAAGGACAATATTTCGTCAGAAATAGATTTATTTACACAGTTCAAACAAATTTACACATGAGGAATAAAATCTCAGCTAAAACAAACACCAACACACTCCGCTTGATCCCGGTCCCAAAAGAAGCAACATCTTACAAGGAACTCGAATCAAAGAGAAAACGAAACACTATCTTATCTAAACTCGAAATATTACAATATTCACCTGCGTTTACTGTACGACTGCCTGTTTAGTTACAACAGTGCAGAAGACAATAAAACCATAGTATATAAGTATATACAAAGTCATCGCCTATTATGCAACATCTTTCACTTTACATACACAGGATAAAGACGATTTCTCTAAGCCTTCTTGACAGTGACCTGTGGGGAGGATGACACTGAGGAATCACAACTAATCGATGAAGACGGCTCAGCTGCAGCAACAAGAAGTTCTTTCAGTATATTTTCAACAATTGAAGGATTAAATTTATTTGAATTTGTATATTTTGGATTAGAGATTAAATGTTGAACAAGCTTCTTCAAAGCTTTCTTATTCCCATTCAAGTATCGTTTCACCTGTTGTGAAGAGGAGAATTAAACAAAAAAACAAACAAACAAACAAAAGAATTAAAAAGCGATTGAGTAAAAGAATTAAAATGAACAGGATTAATAGAATTATCATATACTTATTCAGTTAGTTATCTATGCGGTAAATACATACTGGTTTCAATGGAAGAGAGATACAGTAAGAAGATTTATTTGGAAGCAGATTTCATCGCAAGCTGACATCAGTTAGAGGAACAATAGAGGAGTACTGGACACCTGTTTCGTCCTAGTTTGGGACTCTTTATCACAAAGCACTCCCTGTCTGTCTGGATTCAACATAGAACTTGGCACCAAAGTGCAACAGTTCAAGTTGCCACGTTCCGAATACCACACAAAGGTAAACAACAAATGAGTGAAGAGAATCAATAGAGTTTTGACAAGTATAAGAGTGACACAGAATGAGTAATGGTAGAAAGGAATATGAAAGATTACAGAGACTGAATACATCTGCGTAAGCCATTGACAACGATTTTGAGCCAGGTCACCTATTGTCTCCAGCCACCATTGATTCCTACAGTCCCGAGGGCCCCAACCCGGAAGTCTACATCCACTACTTGACTCAGTTTAATTGTCAAGGATTTCATGGATTGATTGAGGCCATGTTTATGTTTGGCCACCACTTACTCTTTTCCAACCTGCACCTATATCACCTAGTTATGCCCGTCGGGGGAGGCGATGGTTAGGCATGCGCACCACGTCACCTAGCCATCTCAATCTATGTAACTTTATAGCCTCGTCGATTGATTTTCCCTCCTTGCCCAACACTCTACGCCTAACGTCAACATTACTTACCTTATTATACCACCACCTAACGTGAGAAAGAGATCGTAGACATCTGTGATCAAAAACAGTCAGGATTCGAGCTCAGGATCTTCCGATCACAAGGTGAGCTCGTAGTGTATTCGACTACTGGGACTCGACCCAAGGATGCATCAATTCTAACTCCTGTCAATTTCTTATATAAATATATCGAGCGCAAAAAGCAACCAATGTCGTAATCAGTGTCAGTTCATAACCAGTCAAATCTCTGCAAACCAACACTTTTGAAAATAAAACTGTCACTCACTGGCAACCGGCCCTATTCAGGAAGTTACCTGGCGTTCTAATGAGAAGTGATGACCAACGCAGTCCAACAAGTCAGGTAAGAGAACAGTTACTCGCCTAAGACATAGGCTGGTAGTTGAGCTATGCATCGCGAAAAAGCGGATGTTGGAAGTCAAGGGTCACTGGATCGTATCCCAGTGGCAGCATGGTCTATGAGCTCGCCTTGTCGTTGCAAAGTCTTGGGTGCTTTAGTATCCCTAACTGAGAAGAGAACGCTGTCCAGAATATTATATGCTAGCAGACAAAGTTTGTACACGTACATGCGAGCACATAAGGAATCTTCATTGGAAAATAAATAACCTAGCAGTCTAAGGATTCATAAGAGCAACGTATAATTATACACTCCCCTCCCCCCCCTTCAGTTAGGTGAGTGAAAATTACCATCACTAGACATCTGTGTCAATGATTCAATGGTAACCACTGTTACTCAGTCACACACACATCGTCCAGATCCGATTTCTAGCCGTCTCATTCCTAAAGCTCGCTTATTTTGATAGCCGTTAGTTAATCGAGAAAAGAGGGAAGATTGAGTGTGATGTTAGAAACCCTACTCCCGCACTACTACTAAAACTTTAAGCTTTAAAGTCCTATGTTCCACTCTGAATGCAAGGTGTGCAAAAAATTTATGATAGGAAATAAAACGCCTTTCTAATGCTTCAGAAACACTAAAGTATGAATACATCAAAAGCCTTTCATTTCGTTTATTTTCACAAATTATGTCATGCTACTAACAAATAAATTAAGTAGTATCGTACAAGTGAAACAAAATTTACAAAAGTGGGGACGGTTGAAAATCATATTTTTATGCTGTTTCGCTTCACAGTAATTTCAACATGTCAGCTTTCGTTTCAACTAAAAGATATCAGTAAAAAGCGTTACACTTAAAGCAATGATAGCATGAGACGTTTACTAGTGTGTATATACACATCCAAAATACTCTCACATAAACTATGAAAAACGGAAATGCTTATTGGTCACAGTCCAATCAGGCTATACTAGCCTCATAAAGAACTTACTACGTAAATTCAATTCTAAATTCATTCACTACAGGACTACGATAATATATTCCACTGTCCCCAGTCTTACGACATACAGGCAGAGTTTCATTTACAGCCAGTCGCAACAAAGAACCGGTAGGAATGGTGATAATGTGGAATGAAGAAAATAGGACAAGTAGCAAAATTCCAATGAACACTTCTTAAGTATTATTGTTGCAAGGATTTTGTTTGATTAGTTGGACGATTTCATCATGAGGTGACATCAGTTAGCAAACCATTGGAAACCCACCAGAGGGGAGTACTGGATTGCTATTTCGTCCAACTAGCTTGGGAGACTATTCAGCAGTACGCACCCACCCACTCCCACGGTTTGAACCCAGGACCTTCTGGTTACAAGGCTAGCTAGCTCGTAGACCATTCAGCCAATGGGATCCGATCCAATGAACAGTACATGAATGCCAACTTCTGCCAATTCACGATATACCGCAACTGCTAGCCAATACCATCGGAGGAGAGTATCTGTCCTGACACCTGACCCTGATGTACCGCATTGTTCACAACTTCTCACTGGAACCCAGAATAGGGCAATAAGGCTGTCCAGTACTCCCTCTCAGGTTTCCCAATGGTTCTCCAACCGATACCATTTCATAATGAAATCCTGAAACCTATTAAATTATTATTGTCAGGCGAAACAATTTAGGATTGGACTTCACCGAACCCTAGATTAGAAATAGGGAGTGAAGTAGTAGAGCAAGTTGACCGCTTCACTTACTTGGGAAGTACCATCAGCCCCAACGGGTTGATCTCCGACAAAATCACAGCACGAATACAGAGGGCTAGGTTCGCATATGCCAGTTTACGCCGTCTCTGGCGTAGACGCGATATCCGACTATCGACCGAAGGGCGTGTGTACTGCTCAGCAGTCCGCTCCGTCCTCCTTTATGGCTGTGAAACCTGGCCATTGAGAGTGGAAGACATGAAAAGATGAGCTAGCTGTCAGTGATCATAGGTGCCTGCGTTCTATCTCCCGTGTGAAGTGGTATATTAAGGTGAGCAATATTGAGGTTAGGCGTCGAGTGCTAGGTAAGGCGGGGAAATCAGTCGATGAGGCTGTGAAGTTGCATCCACTGAGATGTTTACGACATTTGTTACGCATGCATGCCTAGTCATCGCCTTCCTCGACGGGCGATGTTAGCTGATATAGGGTCAGGCTGGAAAAGAGCTAGCGGCGATCAAACCAAAACATGGCACCAGTCAATGAAATCCACAACAGTTAGTCTAAGCCACGTAGGAAGGTGTAGAATTCCTGGTTGGGGTCCTCGAGACGGTAAAAACCAATGAAGAGTGGAGACAATTGGTGATATGGCTGAAAATTGTTCTCAATAGTGCAGATGCATCCACTCCTTGTGACTTATGATTTCCAATTAAACTGTTTTGTTCTCCGTTATTACTATTCCTTTGTCTCAAACTTCGGTTTACTGTCTATATTATGCATTTCTCCTACTTGCTTCTCTTGCTTTGTGTACTACAAGGAGGGAGTGTGGCGACTTGAACTGCCGCACATATGTGCAAAGTTCTATGTCGAAAACCGACCGACCGAGGTTGTTACACAGAAATCTCAGTGTCTCTATCGAAAAATCCGTCCAGCCAGTATATCAGATACAACAGGTTTTCACTTCAAGATAATATTTTGACTCAACAGTAATAAATAGTTGATGAAAAGATGACAACTCAAAAAAGAAATACGTGTCAACATGAGAGTACTCAAACTGAGAAACACGTAAACATTAATTATGTTCATAGTAGTAGTTCAAGGGGAAATGAATACAGACTGACTGACTGACTGACATCAACAGGAAGTAAGGCAATGAAAAGAGAGACAGGACAAAGACAAAGAGGGGAGGGGAGGAAGCCAACCAATGACAATCCCAGAAAAAAAATGTATCAGAGTAATAGTCAAGGGAAAAAACCACAACATCATCTGTCATCTGAGATAGAAGTTCTCCCAGGTACATTCTTTGTGACTGTTAAAACAATCCGTTACCTATTTTAAATGCTTTTGTTTACAATAAGAATACACAGTGTGTGTTTTGCATAAAAATGAAAGTTGTTCTCAAAAAGTTACAGATCAACTTAGATCTTCTGACATCTGTAACAGATCAGTGAAACATAAAAAGGTTATATAATATTTGTGTACATTTTAAGGGCTTGCCGTATTGAACACCTGAAGTGAATACCAGCGTGATCAATTCAAGTAATGCAGAATATTCTCTTCTCGTATAACCGCGACAATACTTTAACCAACAGCCAGTGATAACATGAGCACATATTATATTCTGCTCCGAATATTCTTAACCTTTACTCAAACTCAATGCTACTCTTTCTCCCTCTCTCTCTCCCTATCTTAGAGGTAAACTTCATCGGATTAAGGCCTCAATATTATCCAATTGAGCAAAATAATATAATTAACCAAATAGAATGTAATGACTGTCCGAGTAATTACACACAGAGGTCAAACTATTAGATCGGGGTCAATTCGACTACCGGAACATAGGAATTTAGGTACACCTAGAATGACTGACCCTGCTAAGTTAAATAACCATGGAAAAAGCTCGGCTGTCGTAATGCATTTACTTGCATGTAAATCACACAACAGGGTGGGATAGAATAAAAGTATTACAAAGTAGTATAGTTAGGTGAGGAGAGAGAAGTTAATCACTGAATCGTTTCGACTGAATTAACGCCAGGTACGTGTAATCGGAATGATGCAACGCCTAAACCGAGTATATGAGAAATTGCATTAAATAACAAGGAGGAGGGGAGAGAAATATATAAATAAAACAAGTTATGAGGCCATATGAATAAAGTGATATGCTTATGAGGAATAAACTGCGCTCGTAACATCATCCCGTGACTGATAATGTATCCATGTGTATTATATCAAATAAACCCATTCAATATCAAATCAATAGACGAGGCTGCGAAGTTATATCGACTGAGATGGTCAGGACATGTGTTACGCATGTATCCCAAGCCATCGATAGCCTCTCTCGACGGGCAATGTTAGCTGGCATAGGATCGATGAGGTCAGAAAAGAACCAGTGGTGGTCAAACCAAAACATCAGTCAATGAAATACACAAAAAGAATTCAAACACACTGTAGCACTCCAGAGTTGAAAAGAATGGAAGAAAAATACCTACAAACGGTCTTCAAAAAGAATGGTTATCCACAAAATTTCATCAAAAAGTGTTTGAAGTCGAATCAAAACACCAACAAAGAACCATCATCAAAGACCACAAGAAAATTCATTCTACCATTCATGAGAAATATCTCTGAAATAACAGCTAGAATACTGAAACCGTTAGATATAGATATGGCACACAAGCCAGTCAAATCACTTAATCCGATATTATGCAAACCGAAAGATCCAACAGATAAAGGAGATAAAATTAATACCATTTACAAAATAAATTATATGAACTGTAATAGGCATTACATCGGCCAAAGTCGGCATCTCCTTCAAATCAGAATCCAGGAACACAAATCAGCTGTGAAAAGACACGATATGTATTCTTTAGTATCAATGCATATAGACAATTATGGTCATCAATTTGATTGGGATAATGTCAAAATCGTAGACAGAGGAAACACCAAAAATGCAGTCAGGGAATTCCTAGAAGCCTGGTACTCAAACGAATATGCAATTAACAAGCACGTTAAGATAGACGAAATATACCAACTAAATAAATAAAAAGTAAATCAGGTGACCAGAAAGTTTAAAATCCAAGTCAATAGAAAATGATCAATACATATGTGAAGATGGTTACCAGGAGACGCAATTCTATCACCACTCATGAAGAAATTTAAATCATTTCACTTTATGCTAAATATTGCGCTGAAGATGTTGTCCAGAAGGAAGACGAAAGCTCCGCAACTATTAATTGCGAAATACACAACAATTAGTTTAAGCCAACCAGCGAGTCACATAGGGAGGTGTAAACTGTTCGGCTGTCTGGTTGGGGTCCTCGGGATGGTGAAAGCCAATGAAGGCTGGGGATAACTGGTGATATGGCTCAAAATCGTCCTCAATAGCTGGCGCAGATGCTTTCACTCTCTGTGATTCATAATATCCAATAAAATCATATTGTTCTTCTATATAATTATTATTCTTTTTGCCTTACTCACACTTCTGTTTATTATCTCTGTTTTGATTCTCTCTTTGCTCTCTTCTTTTGTTTTGTGTGCTAGTAGGAGGGAGTGTGACAACTCACATCGGTGCAACGTACTACATTGGAACCAGTCAGTCAGCCAATGCTACTATGTCAGAATTTATATATCGTTCTGAATGAAACACATGGCTTCAAGCTTAATCCTTCAAAGTTTCAGTAGCGGTAGTGTTGTTCATTTTACAGGGTGGAGTTGCTAGTCTCACACCAAACCATCGCTCTTATCGTAGCTTACTACTGGCGAATAGACTAGGCAACTTGGAAGGGTATCGGTGGGGAATCGAACCCTGGGGTTGCGTGCGTGGTCCGCAAGTATTCTACTTTCGAATCACCAACGAATTCAGGGTACATACATGTACTCTATAAAGCAAAATGAACACACTAATAAAAAAACTCTTCTAAGTATGAAATGTTTTTAGCCTACATTTTCATTTAGAAAATACACTGAAAAAGTATAAATAGAAAAAATAAACTTGTTTCAATCTATTCTAAACGGCAATGTTAGTTAAAATTATTTAATACAATTAACCTGTCCACTTCGACTAATTTTATATAGAAAAACAGAAACTATGGGGATAAATAACTCTGAATTAAACTCCCAAAAGGATATATCCTCTGTTCCTTGCAAACTGTTTGTGAGGCATGTATTATGGAATTTTCAAGTATTGGTTTTGTAAAGGCTTTGTTTAATTGGTTGGAGGATTTCATCATGAGCTGAAATCAGTTCGAGAACTATTGGAAAACCTGCTGGGAGTCCTGGACAGCTGTTTCGTCCCATTAATTTGGCACTCTTCAGATGTGCGCACCCACCCACCACCAGGGTTCGAACCTAGGACCTTCTGGTTACAAGGCGAGCTCGTAGACCATTAAGCCACTGGGATCCAATCTACGAGCTCACCTTGTAACCAGAAGGTCCTCGGTTAGAACCACCCAGTGGGTGTCTACTGATGGAGAATCCCAAACTATGACGAAACAGCTGCCATGTACTCCCAGGTTTTCCAATATCCCTGTAACCGATGTCAGCTCGTGGTGAAATCCTGTAAACAATAGTTTAGACAAAACATTTTTCATATTAATGCCACAGCATCTTTTTCTGTCATCTATCGAATACCTAATAGGTTGTCAGAGACCTCCAAATACCGAATATTCCAAACCGTAGAAGTGATTCTGAATCGCTGAAAACAACCGGAGGTCTTTACGCAAACGAAACAGACCCAACCACTGTGCTGCCCTAATCTGCTGTGGAACCTACAAATTCATTAATTCTGTATTATTTTGCTCAACTTGTCTGATACATTCTTAGACACATTATAATTCCCAGGCCCTTTCGAACTGTAATAATAATAATGATAAATTGACTGATAGAATTCAGTCTGCACCAAAATAAAGGGACTACATACATGACATTCGTTTCTACCTAGTATCTAATTAAGTACCCATTACAGTCCTAAAGACGGTCAATTTTGATCCCGAATAGCTCCGTGCCAACGTTTCTGACTGGAACAATGAGTGACCCAGATTCAAATTTCATAGAAGACATGAGTTTCTTCGTGATTGGAGATAGGCCTTGCAGACAAATGCCAAAAAGCATGAAATCCAAGTGTGATGCTTAGTGACGATTGCTCCCAACGATCTATTGCATCAATACTATTGATTCAATGTTACTTAAAATGACAATAGTATTTAATTGGTGGATGGTGACTAGCAGTGGAATCCAGGATGCGCATTTCGTCCTATTTGGGACTCGTCATCTGGATGTCTTAAATCGGACGAAATGCGCATCCTGGTGGATTCCACTGCTAGTCACCATCCACCAGTTTAATATTAATTAAGTGCCCAGACATCGTCGAAGCATCCGCACAAGAAGCCGACATGTCAACCTGAGACCGAGCACTTCAGTCCAACCAATCGACGGGAAAATCTAAAATTCAATTAAATAATTAATATGACCCGTTGCACAAGAAACAGGTGGCTCTCGTGGCGCAAGCGGTCTTGTGGATAACGCTTTGGCGTTTGAAAATATGGGCACTGGGTTCGAGCCTTGGTGGGAACATCATCACTCACTGAGAAATGCAGGTACATCCACTGGCTGACGATTCCCAAATAGGACGAAATACGCATCCTGGATTCCACTGCTAGTCACCATCCACCAATTAAATACTAAAAAATTTTAGTCACTAATCTCAGTCCTTTAGAGTTTTCAATGAGCATCTTTAATCAATTTTAAAAAAACTGTCTCTAAATTGAACATACCAATTTTGGATGATCTGCAATCACTTGTTCACAGTGTACCTTCATTTGATCTCGATCACGGATTAGAAGCAAATCATTTTTCGCAGCCAATTCAAAGACTGAATGATGAATACTTTCATCACCTTGAATCAGTAGATTTAATAACTGTTGATGAAAGAAACAGCAATAGTAATAATAATAATAATAGGATAGCCACAAATAACCACAAAATGGCACCACTTCGCCTTTTTATAAACGTTTCCTTAAAACTTGAAGTATACTACACATACAGGTAAGATTCGTCCAACGTCAAAAGCACTAACTAACTAGCTAACTAACAGATTTCAATGGGACTTTACGAAAGCGTCAGTCAGTTTAAACCAATAAACTACGCAGAAGCAGAGAGAAAAAAACAGAACCCCCATTGAAGTGCCCTAAATCTTTATCAAGCTCAATCAGCAGTTATATGACAATGTCACATGTAAAGTGATCCACAACAGAAAACCTCAGGGATGTTTCTGAAGTGAAACAAAAGTAATAACAAGGATGTACTGCTGTTGCCCATGATATTCCTGATTGTGGTGGACTGGATGATCATGCAGCAGGCTGCGGAGAGCGGGGAAGACAAGAAAACCCTGGTCTGATAAGAAGAAGACTCTAGAAGATGTGGACTTAGCGGATGAATGATTTATGTTTAATGCCACAGAAACTCGAAGATCAAAAGGTGAAGATCAGCAAGTTGGAAGAAGAGAGATGTAGAGAAGACAGGACGTCAAGTAGGCATATAGAAGACAGAAGTGATGGAGAGGTCAATTTTCTTTCACTTATGCATTCAGCATCATTTCAAAGGCAAGACAAACCTTGATTACTCTGAAATTAGTATGGAAATCTGCAGCTCTCAAAATAAAAATGAAAACAAGATCCAGATTTGCAAAAATAATTTCAAGTCAGTTCTTCAATGCTGGTCTGAGGAGTTGGTATGCGCATCATCAAAAGCATTTGCAACAGGCTATGCACTTTTACCAACAGATGCCTTCGCTGGCTTGATACTGAAGATCAAATGGTCGGTGGGACAGGATTAGCAACAAGAAATTCTGTTAGTGCAAATAACCTATTGCTCAGAAAATATGCAGAAAGAAATGACGATGAATTGGACATACACTGAGGGAAACGTTCAGTGACAACACGTCCAAATCATGTTATTGAGTGGAACTAAGCGAAGTGACTGTTGGCTACATCTTGCACTAGGCTATCGTTTCAGTGGGACGCGATTGGGAAATGATGAGTTGAGTGATGATGGCCCGAGGGCAACATGAAGCAGATGACAACTTAGGGACAACAAAGAAGCCAGCTACGGACGACTAGAAAACAACATGATAAAATGTAGATGTGCTGTTTTTTTATATTCCTTTACCTTCCCAGTGGAACATAAGGCTTCAAGCTAGAGGCTTGAAGTTTCGGCAGCAGTTGTGTTTATTCTTACGGGATGGGGTTGCTAGCCTCATGCCCAACCTTTCCTCTTTACCAGCTTTTTCTTACTGGCTTTGCAAGATGGAGGATTGAGTCGGCCGGGAATCGAACCCCGGACCACATGCGTAGTTGGTGAGCATTCTACCGCTGTGCCACCGAACGCACAAATGTGCTGTGGAAGCCGTATATTTGATTCGAAACCCTGATGAATAATGTATTACAAACAAACATTCGTGTCATCGAAAGTGATTTAGACCAACGTCAACAAGAATCATGAACTACTGATTCTTAGCATTTCGAAAATCTTAGTTAGACAGAACTTGGAATTCCAGGTTCATGACCTCAGTGTCCTGGTTTCGATCTCTAGTGGTTATGAGCCACCCTCATGTAAATAGTACAACTCTGGCTGATAATTCAAAGCCTGAAGCTATGTTCCACTCGAAACGCAAAGGAAGGATAAAAAAGCCTGGAAAAAATGCAAGCTACTGAAATCAAAAATAGTAATATAATTTCAAATTCATAAACTGTTCTAACACACATTCTGGTGACGACTTTTATCTAAGTATTTCTGTTACTGTACTCAGTGTAAAGCTAGAGTTGGAAATGTTGCTCAGAAGGACAAAGAAACGTATACAGTTAAATAATCCACGACATTAAAAGGCTACACAGAAGAACTGTTATTTCTCCTTTGATTGAATATTCATTCTTCAGTTCACCACAACTTGAAACTGTTATTGTCAGTCATCTTTCGGGATATTCGAATCTGTGGGCACTAAACAGTGAGGTTACAGGCTTTTCCTTTTGCCAAAAACAATTCGTTAGTTTTAAACACAGAAATAGGAAAATAAAACTAAAATGTGTTTATCATGCTCTGCAGCGATCGAATCAAAGCGTAAATTAATTTATACATACATATTTTTCAAGTATTGGTTTTGTAGGAATTTTGTTTGATTGTGTATGGAGGATTTCATCATGAGCTGACATCAGTTAGAGAACCACTAGAAAACCTGGGAGTACTGGACAGCTGTTTCGTCAGCCTAGTTTGGGACTCTTCAGCAGTCGTGCTATGCCGTGAATTGGCAGAAGTTAGAATTCAAGGACCATTGGGTCGGGTCCCAGTGGCTCAATGGTCTACGAGCTCGCCTTGTAACCAGAAGGTCCAGGGCTCGAACCCCAGTGGGTGCGTGCTAATGAGGAGTCCCAAGCTAGGACGAAGTAGCTGTCCAGTACTCCCAGGTTTTTCAGTGGTTCTCTAACTGATATCAGCCCATGATGAAATCTTTTATACATACATATTTGCAAACATATTACTTCTACGTTAAAATAAGACTTTGTGTAACTCACAATATATCTTTGTCTTTCAAACATAAAGCAAGCACATTCTCTACAGATTAGCATCATTCATAGTGGATGACTGACCACTGACGAAATCTCAGAGCGGAAACAAAAGACTCGTGTGGTAACTGCCGTGATATCCCGCTATCGACCCTTAAACGTTTGTACTATGCAGTAGTTCACTATGTCCTACTTTATGGCTGTGAAAAATGGCCATTGAAAATAGACCATAGAGGTTGGCGTTCTATCCTACGTCCTTAGCAGTATATATAATATGGTAAGCAATATTGAGGTTAGGCGTAGAAGGCTAGGAAAAGAAGGGAAGTCAATAGATGAGGTTTTGAAGCTATGTCGAGTGAGATAGCTGGGATAGGTGCAACACATGTTGAGGCACCGCCTTGTTCATCGAAAAATGTCAACTGACATAGGATCACGTAGGAAAGGAATTAGCAGTTGTCAAACCAAAACCTGTCATAGGTCCATATAGTCTTCGACAGTTGGCTCGAACCAATCATGTAGACAGGTGTAGACTGTCTGGTTGGGGTCTTCGAGTAGCTAAGAACCACCAGTGGCACTAAAGACTGTTGGTGATGTGGCTCGAAATCATTCTCAGTGGCGCAGATTTATCCAACCTTTGTGATTTCTCATATCCATTAAACCTTCATGTTTCCGCCTGTTACTATTCTTTCTCTAGAACATTCATGGTCACCATAGTTCCTTTGAAACTCGTTCTGAAATGCTGTACTCCTGTGCAAACTTTTACGTTGAAACTAAGCCAGCTAAATTCCACGAAATAAAATAAATACTGAGTCAGAAATCAAATGGATATAAAACACACTAAGTAAATACACACTGATCCTCTCATTCCACGCCCACTACAACAATCTTAATCAAAATAAATACTACTCAAGCCGTTATGCACTGAAATAAATAAGGTTAGCATTAGCTATTGCAATACAAAGCCGTAATCCATTGGTCTGGGCTCTTGACAGGGCCACGGGTCCGAACCCCACTACACTCACCAAGGTTTAAGCAGCCACGCGGTCATCACACACTGGGTGTGGCTCACTACCAACAGCATGGAACTGGAAGTGGGTATTGACTAACTGACTTCACCTAACCTCAACTGAGTTATTTTGGACCAATTTTAGTATAGGGGAACAATTCAATGGGAAAATTTAAATGCGTTGTACTTACCTCAACTGCTGGTGGACCAAAAATTTGTCCTGTTAAATTCATGCATACAAATTCAGCTAGTTCTTCTATTTTCGGTAGACTAAAGTTAACAATATTTTTAAAAAAATTGGGAAATATTTTACTAGCTGAAGGAAGAACAACAGCAAAGCTTTGAACACAAGTAAACTAGAAAAAGATATATTGATGATGGTAGTGCGATAATCTTCTACCAGGATATGCAGCTAAGCTTATTGCATGACAGGTAATACCCAGTTGTCCATACTGAATCAGGTGGAGAGGGATTCGAACCTGGGACTCATTCAGTAAGTGGAAGCCTAATCGTTAAGACTATGAGGTAATCTACATAAGGTATCGGCCAAGTTAAACTTTAAGCACCACTAACTACCAATAGGATGTGACCGCACCAATGACCTTGAAAAGCTCACTGAGCAAGTTAGTGGAATCCGGCACATAATAATGTCATCATCAATAAAACATGCTCATCGAAGTATTATGTTAATAAATAGGATATCTGGCAAGTTTCAGCTTAGATTTGGGAAAGATTAAGTTACCCTTTAAGCCAAGGACAAGTTAAGGTTAGGTTAACCTAACAAAGGCGACAGTAGGTTTGATTCGAGTTAGATTACAGTTAGTTTAGGGATATTTTCATGTTAGGATTAGGTTCAGGAAAGATTAGGGTTGTTGTTGTTGTTGTTAGGGTTAGAAGACCTAAATAATTACATGCATAGAATGTGGTTAAATTACTCTGTTCATATAAGAATAGAACTTGTGCACTGTGGTAGAGTATAATTCCATTGCGGGTGACATTTATTTTGATAAAGTCTCACAGTGTTATACAGTAGCAATATTTACTGATGACGCTTCGAGCACAATCTATTGATCAGTAAATATTGCTGTATAACAATATGAAACTTTATAATAAAGGTTTTTTGTGTACCAATAGCGAAACGTCAGTAAAAACAATATCGTTTTGTTTTTCATTCATTGGGAAATACAAAAACCTTTATTATAATGAATATCATATAACGAATGCCCACATTTTTTCAAACGGTTAAAAGTGAACTTGGTTTGGACATATATAACATGAAACTTTATCAAAATAAATTTTACCCACAATGGAATTATACTCTGTTGATACACAAACCTAAAACTGAGAACTATTTTTATCCCATGTGAGAGGAAGCTATCCTCTGTAACAATTTTATACAGTTTTTATGCAATTTTTTCATAAATATATGCATTCCATACACAAAAGTGCCTCCTTCACGTGATTGGTGCTTTCGAGGCCATTTGCTGATTGGTAGTTAGTGGTGCTTAAAGTTTAATTTTGCCAAGGTATCAACTCAACTCAGTGTTACTCGACAACCACTTACAATTCCATGCAGCTGGTAATGAACGTTAGTGCTACTACCCAGGACTGTCAAATCCATGATGCACGCAGTGGCGTTAAAACGTGTGACCCACTGGTTGCAAGTGGACAGCCTACATCAATGAGTCACTGCTCCATTAGATAGTTAGTGTATAACAGAAGTCAAAAAAACAACTGTATATGGATGTTTCCAGACAGCTAAGAGTACATAGAACTTAGAAGAATATTGATTGCGATGTTGTCTTCTCCAAAACTGAGGGATTATGCACTTAACAAAACTACAAGTGCAAAAGAAAGTAGAGCAACTAACTGGGTTTTTATAGCGTAAATGATTTGTCATTAACAGTTGTCTTCGCTCAATGCAACTCAAGATCAGATGGCCGGCCAGAAAAGATCAGCAACAGAGATCTCTGGTATTGAGCGAACCAACCAGGAACCGATTGTGAAACAAATAAGCAGGAAGAAATAGACGTGGATTGGCCATACTCTGAGGAAACCATCAAGTGACATCACTAGACAAGCCATTGCTCGAGTGGAACCAGAAAGGGAAGTGGCGAGTTGATCGTCCAAGGGTGACTTAGATGATGTCATGTGAAGAGGAGATGAAAACGTGTGGGCAGACTTGGAGCCAGGTGAAGACTCTAGCAGAGAACCGAACGCAATGGAGACGCACGGCTGAAGCCCTATGTTCCTCTAGGAATTAAAGGAAATAATAATAATAAGCGAAGCCTACGAATGCGTCGGCTTGGAACCTGATCTGGATCATGTACGTGTTTGGTGAGTATTCCATCAAAGCACGATCATCATTCATCATAATTCTTTTAGGTTCCAAGTGGAACTTAGACCTTAAATACAATATCTCCATTTCCTCTTGTTTTCTGTAGTCCATCTTAGCTGCCTGGCTCGACTATTCCTCATAAGCCTTCATCGCCTCCTCACAAGGTCTCCCCCACTTTGACATAAGGATAGAACTTGGCCACTGTGATAGATAGAGTATATAACTCCATTGTGGATACAATTTTATTTTGATAAAATCACACAGTGTTATATTGTAATATTTACTGATGACCAAGTTTCCAGCACAATTTATTTCTGCTCATAATCATATCAAGGTACTCACACAACTTTCTTGATTCGTTTACATACATGAGTAATTTCATCCGCGATGGAGTTCTCCTCCACTTTACCGTTAGACCGATACCCAACTCGTCATTTCTTATTGACGTTACAATCAAGAGTCTGAGTTGGGAATGATGTCATTCGACGGTCTCCTCAGGGTGTGTCCGATCGATTCTACGGTATGCTAGTTGGGTAATAGGTTCTTGGATGGTTCACTGCAATGCTAGAGTTCCTTCTTGCGTATCCTTTGTCATCAGAGTGATGAAGACACGTCTTGCATTTTTGATTATGGTTTAGCAACCCCTTTTTTATATTACAGCTTGATTCCACACCGTATTTTTTGGTACAGGTATGGAATTTTCAGCATGTGATATCGGTAGCCCAAATTTTGCAGGCCGACCATAGGTATCAGGGGTGCGCCGGTAGGGGATCGAACCCCGGACATTGTGCATGATCGGCGAGAGTCATAACAGCCACCGACACCTGTAGTTGAAACAATGCTGCCGGAATAAACGAAAAAGACGAATGCCTTTAAATTTCTCCCGTTGATGGTGATTGGTGTTTGCTGTTGCTGGTTGGTTATCTCCATCACTTCTGTCTTCTCAATATTCACTTGAACTTCTGTCTTCGCTGCCTTCTCTGTCAGCTTGTTGGTTTTCCGCTTGTAGATCTTTGAGTTTGTGTGAAGTCAGACGCAAATTATCTGCGAAATCCAGATCTGTGATCTTTTTGTTAAACCAACGTATACTACCTGTCTTCTCACTACCTACGCTCTGTTGCATGATTCAGTCTACTACAATCAGAAATATCATCGGTGATAATGTGGTGAGAGCTGGCTGCTAGCCAAAATTGGTAGACAGTGTAATTTACGTCAATGTTTACATCCCCAATATTGGTCGTGAGAAAAAAATAAGAACAAAGACTGATTCAACAACCAATCACAACAGACTTTGCGTAGGCGGATACAGTTTGCAGATAGATAATCTGAACTTCAAGAAACGGCCAGAGATGAAAGATTAACGTTCAGCGAAGAACCACCAATTAGAAGACTGTTTGTTTGCTTACGATAATCTACAAAATATATAGGTATGTGTTGATTTCGTAAATAAACCATCTGTTGCCTAGCCCTTGTCTTCTGTTGTTACATATTGAGCTGAAGAAAAAAAGGAGAGATTGATATCGCTTAGTGTGTGTGTATGTTGGTTGAGGTTTTTATTTAGTGATTGGGTTGATTTTCTTCGGGGGTAGATTCTCTAGCCTTACGCCAAACCTACCCTATTTTTGCTGGCTTAGGACCGGCTTGTAAACTGGGCGACGCATTTGAAGTGAAGACAGGAATAAGAGACAAGTCTGAGTACTATTTTAACAACAGAAGACAAGGTTCAGGCAACAGATCGTTTATTTAGGAAATCAACAGATATTTATAGATTTTCATGGACATTATTATAGATTATTGTAAGCAAATAAACACAGTCTTCTGATTGGTGGTTTCTCGCTGAACGTGTTAATCTTTCATCTCTTTGTGGCCGTTTCTTGAAGTTCAGATTATCTGTCTGCAAACTGTATCCGCCCAGACAAAGTCTGCTGTGATCGATTGTTGAGTCCGTTTTTGTTCACCACACTCGTCCCCCTGTCAAAGACTTGCGACTGTAGTTGGTTCGGTCTTCTTCGTTCTAGGGGCTTTGTTAGTTTGTCTTGCTGTCTGGAATCTCGGCGCTCGCTGATGTTCACCTGTTTCTCTTTGTTTGCCATTGAGATTGTGTCTGCATAACCCCATCTCAAAGTGACCATATGTGGTCCTTCCCACTTTGGAAACTGCTTGCCTGACCCTGTCGCACATTCGTCGGTATTTCGCTTCGCACTTCCATATGCTGCTTTCTCCCAACCTTCCAGCAGCGTTCCAAGTAACAGCCTTATCGCTGACAGATCTTGAACGCCACTCAAGTGTGCAGAAGCTTCGAAGTCCTGCCCGAAAAACTGCAGGGCTTAGGCTTTCCATTTGTCGGTAGGCAGCAACACCAAATGTAACAACAGAAGACAAGGGTCAGGCAACAGATCGTTTATTTAGGAAATCAACGCATATTTATACATTTTCATGTACATTATTATAGATTATTGTAAGCAAACAAACACAGTCTTCTGATTGGTGGTTTCTCGCTGGACGTTAATCTTACATCTCTTTGTGGCCGTTTCTTGAAGTTCAGGTTATCTATCTGCAAATTGTATCCACCTACGCAAACAAAGTCTGCTGTGATTGGTTGTTGAATCAGTCTTTATTCTTATTTTTTTCTCACGACCAATATTGGGGACGTAAACATTGACGTAAATTACACTGTCTACCAATTTTGGCTAGCAGCCAGCTCTCACCACAAATACACCTATTGGACACGTATAACATAACTTTTGCTAACAATTATACCGATTTCAATTCGTCAACAATTTTCAGAAGAAGAAAACTTTATATACATATATATATATACACCTATTAAAGATAACTAACTTACTGTTTCAATGTTTTATTTTTAATTGAACCATGCAAATGTCCACTAATCCAAAAGCTTAATTCTTTAGCATAAATTAAGCGGTGAAAATTCTCTTCTTCTCTATTCAAATTAACATTTTCGGATAAATACTTTAATGTTGATTTATACAAGGTATATAATTCAGTATTTTCAATTAGTACAATTGTACGATCCATAGACAGTGCATGTTCAAGTAATAACTCTTGTTTTTTATACTGAGGTAAATTTACTTCCCAATTAACAGATTGTAATTGATATTTTTCTTTTATACACTGGACACAAACTCTATTCTTTGAAGAAGATGGCGTAGAAGAAGGAGAAGCGGTGATTGATGCTGAGGATGAAGATCCTGGTGAGGATGGTTGACTGACGACATCATGTGAAGATGAATTAGGAGAACAATGAGAACAGCTTGACAATAGTCTGACAGCTGGTAAATTTGGTTCTGGAATATAACGATAATCCTGTGTCAATTCTTTAACTCGCATTCTTAGTGTTACACTAAAATTTAAGAAAAATGGGTGGGGGAGGGAATAATACATGAAATAATGACAAGAAAAAATTTAAATTAATACCTCAGATATTTATATGAATTATAAGAAAAGCCACAATCGATTTCTTCTGCCTTCACAGGTAATAGCAAAAAAAAGGGTTACAGTCCTTCAAATTATTCAAACTAATAGTTTTATGGCAATAAGATGTAATTGGTCTGAATCGTGTAATGCTGTATTTGCGCAACACATTTCGAACAATCTGATCACACACGGACTTGTCATAGGAATATACATGTGAAATTAATAAAGAGGTAAGAGGTGAGAAAATAGACTTAGGTGAAGTTGAAAAGCCATACTGAAGGTCAAAATAACAATGGAGACCACTAAACCAAATAGCAGAGGTAATAGTACATCTGCTATGGTATCAAAACAAAATTTACCAAGGAAGGTTTAATGTGATGACGAATTGTTTTTGAACGCACATAGGTGGTTTAAACTTTCTAATTGCTAGGGCTTCCAAAAACTTTAGGATACGCCCCAAACACGTTTTATAGATAGGTTTAAAAGATGTTTAAACGTCAATTTTATGTCCTGTCTCTATAATATTTTTCGCAATAGAGGAGGTAGGTCTCCTGTTTTCACCATTAATGGGTTCTGAAGATTCCATTTGTTTCTGAAGCCATTTACGAATATGCTCTGAGTTTGGGGTGTACCCTAAAGTTTGTGGAAGCCCTAGCAATTAGAAAGTTTAAACCACCTATGTGCGTTCAAAAACAATTCGTCATCACATTAAACCTTCCTTGGCAAATTTTGTTTTCATACCATAGCAGATATACTATTACCTCTGCTATTTGGTTTAGTGGTCTCCATTGTTATTTTGACCTTCAGTATGTCTTTTTAACTTAACCTAAGTCTATTTTCTCACCTCTTAACTCTTTATTAATTTCACATGTATATTCCTATGACAAGTCCGTGTGTGATCAGATTGTTCGAAATGTGTTGCGCAAATACACTACACGATTCAGACAAATTGTGTTTTCTTATTGCTTTATCTAAATTCATAGAAGGAACTAATTGTTTTAAGTGGTTTTATGGTTAATAGTAACTGTCAGAGAGATCCATGAGGCGCTTTTCGCCTTATTAGCGACTCGTCATCTGTATGTGAATGCATGCTTCCGGTGAGTGATGTTTCCATAGAGACTCGAACCTAATACCCAGTGCTTTAGCAATTGGAACGATGCATACTCAGTTCAAGTCCTGGGAATGCAGTTAAATTTAACTGACGAATCCCAAATAGAATGGAATGTGTATCGCGGATTCCACTAAAATAACATTATGTTAATCTTCAGACAACGGCAAAGCCTCCCAGCTAACAGCCAACATGTCCACAGAGACAATCTTTATGGATTAACATGTTTCTGCACTAATCACCATTTTTACTTTTTTTTACCCTAAGCTAAAGACTGATAGTGTGTCGATAGTCCAATGGTATAATGCTTGCCAAACACGAGCATCATATAGGACTAGATTCATGAGTGACGCACTCCTGAAAACCTCGCCTAGTTAGCCGATAGTAAGGCCGGAAAAAGATGGAATGTTGGATGTGAGGAAAGCACACCCGCCAGCTACTGAAATTCCAAGGCTTGAAACCAAGTTATTTGATATTCGAGTGCTGGTCTGCAGGAACTTGATTTGATTGGTTGCAGGAATTCATAAAGAGCTGACATCGGTTAGAGAACGATTGGAAACAAGCAGGGAGTACTGGAAAGCTAATTTCTTCCTGGTTTGCTACACTATGACGGGGGTCGCAAAGACAGAAGAGAAGATTAGACGTCGGTAATAGAGCTTTTTATTATCTCAAACAACAGTCAAAAAAGGTTGGCGACGCTTGTGTATATATATGTTTGAAATGACCTTGAGAAGCTCTAATTTCATCGACAAATTAAGACAGTGAACAAGCAATAGGATTTCAAAGGTCATAAGTAGTGTAAGAGAGAGAGAGAACTTGGTCATAGATCAATAAGTGGGGTGAGAGAAATACAAACAGACACGTAGAAATGATATGTAGAATAATTAAGTCTACATATCAGGGTTTCAACCCAGAACCATCCGGTTGCAAGATGAGCTTGTAGATTATTAAGCCACTGGGATCCGATTCAGCGAGGTTGTCTTGTAACTGAAAGATCCTGGGTTCGTCGCCCGGTGGGTGCTGAAGAGTTCCAAACTAGGACAAAACAATTGTCCAGTCTCTCTGAGGATATCAGCTTGTGATCTAACAAAAAGACAAAACTGATTTTCACGATAAACAATAATTTTCAACCTGAAGACAAAGCAAATATTGAATTAGACATAAGAATAAGAGTGAACTAGAAAGCATCAAGTTTCAGTTAGAAGTGTTTATGCTACTGACTAGTTCAAGTGTAACCTTGTTTTCATCAACAACAAAAATGATACTAATAACAAAACGTACTTGTTCACAGAATCATAAGATCTAGTTTCATGAACAATTTGACCACCAGTTTTAAGTACCTCCGTTTGACGTTTGATTTCATAGTCTGTGAAAGGAGGAAAATACATGTCCCATGGAATGTTTTATTATAGACAATACGACAAAGTTCTACAATAGCGTCCCGAGGGATGTGAACGCACGGGTGACCTTGAGTTGACCAATCAGAAGAATGGAGGACTTTCGCACAAAACATTACGTATATTTACATAAAAAGCATGAAAAAACATTAAACAGGGTAATTTTGTCTAATATGAGATAAAAAGATGTCCCAAATTACAATGAGGAGTATCAATTTTTAAATTAAACCAGTTCCTATACATGTGTTCATCAGGGTGACTAAAAATAACTTGATTTTCAGAGCCGTTTATAGCTCTTATTCTGTTTTTTAGTCTTCCCCAGAAACCTTCTATTGAATTAGTATGAATACCGGTTCTGGAATCGACGAAGTCATCAGAATGGTTAATTCGGTGGTATATATATCCCAAATCGGGTAATCGATTATATGCTGCCCATTCATCCGTGTGAATGGTAGTGCCCGGCAAGACGAGTCTCTGAATAATAGGGAGAAGAGTGTCGGCACTCCTGTCTGGAATAAGTTCAATAAATCCTTTCCGAATTTGGGTGTCTTAAATTCCCAATACCCAAACGTCATGTGTTCTAGCACGTCCCCAATTGTAGTTCTTCTTTATAAGCACCGTTTCGTCGATTTGAACGACAACACCGACTCCTCCCAACACTTGTGTGATACTGTTCATTTTCCATGACGCTAAATCTCGACAAAATTAGAACCATTGCAAAGTAGACGTCAACGTATTATCTGTCTGAGCGGCAGTTGACCTCACACCGGACTTCAAAATCCAGTAATGGCATAGAAACAGTATATTCGTCAAGGAAAGAAAGTTCCTAGAAGACAATTAACTGAGAGTGTCACTTATGAGTACGAACACTTATTCGTTTCCTACCCTCTGTACATCTAAAAATATATATCGATCAATGACCTGGGAATACGGTTGCAGGTTCATTGAAGCACCACAGCTACATAAACGAGAACGTTCAATCAATCCATTATCCAAGCAGTATTGAAATACGTGATCTGGGTGAAAGTTGCATCTGAGCAGATGAACACTGCTTATTTTCGCGCTAGAATAATAGTAAGTTTCCTCAACCAACGACTAGCAAGCGTTCAAGATCATTTGAGCGTTCGCACTCCTGGGACACTATTGCTGAAATTCGCTGACAATGCAACGAACTATTTACCGGGGGATCACAATATCCCAACATAATCAATTGAGCATATCCTAGGAAACTTATATCAAAAAGGAAGTAGATATTCACAAAGTGCAATTACCAGACACCTTATGGATGAATACGGGTCATTTCGTTGAGATTTCCAAATTCTTCAGAATGTCAAACATACAAAGAACAGCAAGTCTATTACGATTTGCTGAAGCAATTGTAATTAAGCGTTTTAGACCAAACTTATGCCACTCACTCCCTCGGTGATAACTGCACTTTGATTACATTGACTGGCCATCCATAGTAGTGTAGTGGTTTCAGCTTACTGAGAAAGTTTCCCACCTTATGAACTATAACCTTCTTGAGTTGCTATGTGAACTTATAAACTAGCAACACTGTTTAATTAGATTTTTCTGTTTCCCTACCTTCTCTTCCCCTTCCCCACGTCCTTTTCTATTTTGAAGGCATATAAATTGATGGCAACTTAAACTAGAAAGTGTAATGCGGCTTATATTTCGAATGCGTTAATTCTATAATGTTTTCTGTACTACCATTCAAACATTGAAGTATGTTATGGTCATTTTTTATAACCATTGTAATTTCAGGTAGTAGTGTGCAGCTGATGAGAACCTGTCAAACAGAATAATAACATTTTATATTTGGTCTTCCTTTTTACGAGTTTGACCATGGATTGATATCAGTTAGAGAAACACTGAAAACCAGCACTGGAATACTGGACAGCTGTTTCATCCCACTAGTTTGGGAATCATCGGCAGTACGCACCCATTGGGGTTCGAACCCAGGACCTTCCAGTTACAAGGCAAGCTCGTATACCATTCAGCCACTGGGACCCAATTCATGAGCTGGCCACTGATAGGCCACCGTTAGTTTTGCTCCGTTTAAGTTCATAATGGGAAATACGTGTATCAAGTGAGAAATTATTTGTACATAAAAGGGCAAAGTTAAACTTTCAGCACCACTAACTACCAATCAGCAAACGACCATCAATGGACCAATCACATGAAAGGGGGATTTTTGATAAAAGAAAACGCGCATTTATGGAAAAAAGCATAAAAAAGGCATAAAAGTGTTATATAGGGTATTTTTCTCTAACATGTAAAAGAAACATCTCCCAGCCAAACATAGGACTGTCAATAGAAAAGTCACACCACATTCTGTAAACATATTCATCCAAATGACTATAAATGACATCCTTTTGATATCCATTTATAGCCCTAATCCTATTTTTTAATCTTCCCCAAAATCCTCCTATAGAATTTGTGTGTGTCCTGTAATAGGATCCACAAAATCACTAGAATGGTTCACACTGTGATGAATATATCCAAGAGATGACAGTGAGTTATAACCTTTCCATTCATCACTATGCACTATAGATCCCTGTTTTACCAGTCGAGTGACAATAGGTACTAAGGTAGTAGACTGTCTGTCTGCTATTCTCTCCACGAATCCTTTCCATAGGGGGTGTCATATAAACCAATCACCTAAACATTGTTGGCTCGCTCACGATCACGGCCGTATTTTTTCTTCAGTAACACGGTTTCGTCCACGTGCACGACGGCACCTTCTCCGCCTAACAACGAAGTAATTCTCTCCATTTTCCATGAGGCGATTTCTCTGCAGTGCTGGTACCACTGAACTGTTGACACAAGGCTATTTTCGGTTTCAGCAGCTCCGCCTCTCACAGGCTGCTTTAAAACTCAGTAGTTACAAATATACAAAATCTGAGTTAGGGAGAGATACGACCAACCAAAAAAATGTTCCTACGAAATATTAAAATTATCAGCTTACCTTCTTTAACACTAACTCGTCTGAAACAAATTGCACAACGATGGACATATCCATCAGTAGACCTGCTAAAGCTTTTTAAACTCATCACACCACCACATGAACAAATTCTCTCCTTCCTAAACAACCCCAAATCCAGGCGATACTGCAAAACATTATCCTCCTCGAAATGCAAGCGTAACTTTGTTAGAGCACGCATTTGAAACGAATCAAGCGCTATATAACATTGAACTTAGGTTCATGAACCTCATTGGACCATTTGACGTCGTTCGCTGATTGGTAGTCAGTGGTGCTTGAAGTTTAACTTGGCCTATAAAAGTATGCTAGGCAAATATGTAACTTCCTATCATATACTAAGGCACACTTTAACTACTGTGGCAAAAACAAAACAAAATCACTAACAAACCAACCTATTGAATTGATCACATCATGAATACTATTCAAATTTTTGATTTCAACTCGAGGATTTTGATTAGCTACATCTTCACCAATCGATACATTGACATCAACACGTAGTTCTCCGAATGCACCAATAGCATTACAACATTTTAAGTGTTTCAGTAATCGTGACAGATCAGTAATGAAGGCAGCAGTTTGATCAGATGAATTAAAATCCGGTTCCGTGATTATTTCAATAAGTCCAACATCTAAAATCAAATCAATTGCGGTTGAGAAAAAAAAGAACCATTTAAGCCTAATATGAAAGAAAGTAAAAAGTGATTTATAGACTGTTCGTGTGAATGATGACAAAGTCAATTTCAATGGTTTGTACCTTCATGGTCAGAAAGACTTTAGAACTATATTATTCCTTCTGTAATAATAATACTAATTTATTTTTACTATCGCCGTCAATGATATTACTGACTGTGGGATGGGTGCGAAGACAGGAATACGTCCGATCGATGAGAGGACACCGGAAGATCTGGTGGACTTCGCTGATGGGTTGTGTCTGACGTTAGACAAACTCGAAGATCTACTGATGTAAACGAACAAGTTGGCAGAAGGGACAGGCAGAGGAGACAGAACCCCAAGTGGACATAGAGAAGGCGTAGGTGATGGAGATATCTGACCAACAACAGAAGGCAGCAATGACTAATAACGGAAGAAAATTGAAAGAGGCCACTTCTATCACTTATCTAGGCAGCATTGTCTCAACCACAGGCATCACGGAACCTATTGCCCAAAAAATAGCATAGAGAAATGTAGGTGGACTGGACACTCGCTGTGGAGGCCGTTGAGTGACGTCACGCATCAGACCCTCGACTGTAACCCGAGTGGGAAACGGTGAGTTCGGTATGGGTCCAAGGGAGACATGGGGGAGATCGTATGGGTAGGAAATGAAGGCCTGTGAGCAATCCCAGAGCCAATTGAAGAGGACTGCAGAGAAAGGGACAAAACGGAGATGTGCTATTGAAGGTCTACGTTACACTAGGAATCCAGAGGAATAATAATAAGACTAAGTATAAACATATAGAGGTACTGGTGTAACGACAGAAGACAAGCGCCAGGCAACAGATCGTTTATTGAGAAAATCAAGAGGTATTTATAGATTTTTATGTGCATTATTATTAGCGTTATTGTTAGCGGAGAAGCAGCCTCTTCTGATTGGTTGTTTTCTTGCTGAAGGTTATTCTGTCATCTCTTTATGGCCGTTTCTCAAAAAATCAAGCCATATATCTGCGAATCATATTTCCACACGTTAACTCCGCCGTGATTAGCCGATGATTTTCTCAAGGTTAGGCTTTGTTTTTGTTTTTCTCATAACCCTGATTCGGGACGTCAACATCGACGTAAAATGTTGTTTACAATTTTGGCTTGCAGACAGCTCTCCACCACACTGGGAAGAGATGAAAAACACACCTAGGACATTGGCTGGTGGTTGCACTATGCATATTGCGACTTGGAGGAAGTTGGAATTCATGGGCAGTCGAATCGGGTCTCAATGACTGAATGGTATAAGAGCTCTCCTTGTAACCAGAAGGCCCTGGGCTGGTACTCCAGTGTGTGCGTGCAGCAGAAGAGTCCCAAACTAGGATGAAACAGCTGTCCAAACTTCCCCCAGGTTTTCCAATGGTTCTTTAACTGATATCAACTCGTGACCATACCTGTAACCAATCGAATCCCTGCAAACCATCACTTGATAATATGCTCCACTGGCACCGATCCTGTGAGGAATCATATCTCGTCTATGTTATGTGTAACATGACTTGTAGATAGCCAGCGACCGATCGGTGTAAAATAGAATTAAAATGTCTAACCAAAACATCTTGTCAAAATAACATGAAAAATGCGCGGAAATTACTTTTTCTTTAGGAGGCAACAGATTACATTGATTACGCAAGCTAAAACACGTGAACAACTTAAGATTTTCATAACAAGGCAAAAGCCAGTCACTCACTATATATACTATTACTAAACTGCTTTGACTTACCTGAACGATTTAAATCGATTAAACTACAATCACCTTGGACATCCTGCATAGTCTTGCCAGAGTCCTGTTCAATCTGTATCCGTTTAATACGAGCTTGAGAACGGTAGTAACTTCGACCATTGATACTGTGCACAATTTCTGTATACAAAGGAGGCGATTTAGTCTCCCATGAATTCGGTGACCAAATATACTGTAAATATCCGCATTCAGCTATTGGTTTATAATATTGAGTTATCTGATAACCAGCGGGTAGATCTGCGTAGAAATAATGCTTACGGTCAAAACGTGACGTCAAATTGATTTTACAATTTAATCCAATTGAAGCAACCAGTGCCAATTCAAGACATTGTCGATTTAGTATCTGTTCATTAATATAATAAAAGTATTATAAATGAGAATACAATGTATATAAAGTCTGTTTTAGAAATGTTTAGGCAAATGATTTGCAGGTCTAGGGCTATACGCCACATTACGTAACACGACAGGCATATACATATATGCGGTTATCTTTCGATGATAAATTATACTTACTGTAGATTTCGTCACGAGTAAATATCAATTATAAATCACTGTAGAAACCAGGGAGCGCCGGACAACTGCTTCGTCCTAGATTGGGACTCTCCAGCTCATTGATGACTATTGGACGGATATCCTGAAGTAGTGGGCCCTAGGTCGGCGGCACAGAGGTAGAATGCTCGCCAACCACGTAGGCGGTTCAGGGTTCGATCCCCGGACGATGCACTGCTTTACCTCGCTAAGCCAGAAATAAGACTGGTAAAGAGGGAAGGTTGGGCATGGGGCTAACAACCCCATCCCGTAAAAAAATAAACAGCGCTGCTACCGAAACTTCCAAGCTTTAGCTTGAAGCCTTATGTTTCACTGGGAACGTAAAGGAATAAAAAAAATCAAGTGGCCCCTGGGGCCCGGCATATATCAAGCTGAAACGGACAAAATTAAAGTTGAAGGGTTATTGAATTCCCACCCAAGTGGCTGAATGGTCAACTAGCTTGGTCTTGTAATCTGAAGGTCCTAGGTTCAATCTCTGGTGGGGTTGTGAGTGCGTGCTGACGAAGAGACCCAATCTAGGAAGAAATCGCTATCCACTACTCCCTAGTTCCTAATGATCACTAAGTGATGTTAGTTCGTGGAGAAATGAAATCATTCTAAATCTCCACGAAAACCCGTTATCTACATTAATTTTAAGTGAGCTTATAAGAGTAGCAACATGATTTAAAGCGTATCTTGAAAAAAGACTTCTATACTGTTACTCGGCCGCTGCCAACTATTCCACGACAACTCTTATAACAATAATCCTACAAAAAAGTGCAGTGAAAGACTATGCAGACTCGTGTTCATATATATTTAGACAGAATATAGTTCAGATACTTATTTTCAACTGAACACAACTATAATATCTAATGTTTTGTTTAGACAAGTGTCATCGTAGATATTTCAAAGTGAGAATAAAATACGGAAAACAAAGTATTGAATTGATGGTCTACTTGATAAACAGCAACAGTAATATTATGATGGAATAGTACTCATCAAGATTTATTATCCTACATGTGATAACTGTTACATTTGTATTATTTCTTATGTGTTAAAACAAAGTTGGTACATTATGGGTACTACATAAAATCTCCTAGTTGCTGTAGGGATCAAGATACTACCCGGATGCCCAGACTGAAACAGGTAATGGTTGTCTTAAGGGGCCACTACTCTTCCCCGAGACTTCGACTTGAAGTCTTGTCCACAAGGGGGTGGAGCAGAGTCAGAAGCTGCGTTCTCATACTTGCTCGTGTTAGAAACAAGTTCATAAGCCATTCGATTCATTAGGATTCCAAAGCCCATGTACACCATAGGTTTGGAATCAGGGTTTGCCAGTCTCCCGAAGTAGACTAGAATGCCCACCAGTCAGGCTGAAAACGCCGCATGTTCTGCTTTATTCTTGTGAGTAACACTCCCGACACGTGAAGGGGTGAAGTGAACAGGACTTACCTGACACAGTCCATGAACACGTGGCCATTTAAGTAAACGAAGAACAGACGACAGAAAGGGCACCGATTGAGAAAGAATATATATATGATCACTCCATGAAGTCATTTATTTTATTCCTTTAGGTTTCTAATGGAAAATAGAACTTCATTCTGGAGCTTAGAGGTTTCAGTTTTTTACGGGTTGGGGCTGCTAGCCCGACACCCAACCTTCCCCCTTTACTAGCCTCACTACCGGCTTAGCGAGCGAGGTTTAGGAATGCCTTGGTTGAGGATCGATCTCCGGAACACGTGTGTGGTTGGCGAGCATTCTACCGCCAAACCACCGACGCCGTGTAGTCGGCAGTCGTTTACATTGATAAATTTAGTAAATTATATGTTTCTTTAAGCTGTTATCTACAATAAAACACAAGTAGGCAATTGAAAATTTTATACTGTGATCAAAAGATAAGCGCACGACAATGGCCCATATCTATTGGTCAGGTTGCAAAGAGAAAATAACATTGCTGTGCAAACTTCATCAAGAACTGATATCAGGTGGGGAATCATTGAACTCTGGATATCAGTTCTGCTTCAGTTTTGGAAGCTGCACGAAGACGGGGGACACAAGACAACCTATTACCATATAATATACATATATATATATATATATATATATATATACCAGACGAAAATCAATTTTTCTTCGCTCATGATTCGATTCCTATTATTAATTTTTTAAAACAACAGCCTATCACTTCAACTCACTGGCATACTACCAGGCATTGCAACATCATGCAAGCCTAATTGGGTATTTGGAGGAGCTGCAAACGTGTAAGGCGTTGCGGTGAATAATTTACTTCTCACCGCTAACTGAGCATGTATCTCCAAACCAATTAAAGGTACATAATTTTTTACAGCAGTTGAAATTCCAGTAGAATATTGTAGGCAGTGGAAATTTGTGCATTGAGTCGTTAGCCAGAGTAGCCTTTTATGCCGTAAAATTATTCCCATTCTGTATACACTGACAAATCTAGATAGAAAGTAAACAGATAAGGATAAAAGCATGCATTAAGGATTAGAATATTTTGCCAGGGTAAACTTCATCTTTCAACCACAGTGGACCGTACTTTATCCCCTCTGGTTTGTAATCCAATAACCTACAAATCTTAGTTTATGTCCTATACTCCATAGATTTCAATAATTCCCTAAACGATGTCGATTTGTAGTGAGACCTGCCTTAGAATTAATCAGAAGTCTTTATACCCGCTGGATGAGCAATACTGAACGATGTTTGCAACCCCACCACAATTGTCATTTGTTAACTGATTCATTTCCCTGTATATCAGCCAATCTCAATAGTGTGGTCTTAAAGGGGCAATAGAGTTCTTCAAGTTCATATGGACTTTTTCCTTGACGACTGCAATTAAATACGAAACCCTGATTCAAGGATACGGCAAACAAATAATCTTTTGAAAAACTCCGAACCAGATGAGACCAACTGGATAACTGGACATTATAGTTCTAAACAACACACTTGGTAGCGGGATTTTATCATCAGTTGGCATAAGTTGGAGAACCATTGGAAAACCAGGGGGTACCAGACAGCTCTTCCCCCTTAATTCGGGACTCTCCAGTAGTACGCACTCACAGCTAGGGCTCAAACCCAGAAACTTCCGCTTACAAGGCGAACTCCTGGATTTTAAGTCACTGGGATCCCATTCAATGGCCCATGAATTTCAACTTCTGCCAATTCACGATATAGCGCAACCCCTAGCCAATGTCATCGGCGAGTATCTCTCCTCACATCCAACTTGCTGTTTACGACTTCCCACTAGAATCCAGGTAACTACCTACCTAAATAGAGCCAGTTGGTAGCAACTAGGCTACAATTTACTGGCGGGTACTTACGAAACCGGAGACTAATCAATACGTTGATGCATGACTCTATGAAATACACTTCTTGCATAGGGCCTACTACTAATACCTGGCTGCTTAAAACAATGGAAATTTAAAAAAGAGATTAAATCAAAGAAAGATTGTCGAAAAAAATGCCAGTCTCATGGTAAATATTACTCACAGTCGAAGGAAATGGTTACATAGTTACAGTCTGGAATTTTTATGAAAATTCATTTTTACGAAAACACTAAGCAGTGGTTTTTATTTTTATAGAATGGGGGTTGTTAGCCTTATGCACAACTTGCCCTCTTTACCGATCTTATTACCGGCTTAGCGAGCTTGAGGAGGCAGCCGGTAGGGGATCTGACCACGAACCATATGGGTGGTTGGCGAGCATCCTACTGCTGTACCACAGACACACATACTTTCTAACTAAGTAAAATTAAGAAAGCACTCTACCATAGAATAATATACTATTGCTTAAATGACTTAGAGCTTTAACGTCCATATATCTTCAACATACAGACTCTAATCTGGGCAAAATATTACGTCAAAGGAAATTTAGGAGGCTTAAAACCAGTTATTAAAACTTTGACAGAATGACAGAATGCAAGTCAGACACGCAGTTAGGTCTGGGTTCCACTCCGTACCAACACTCTACCTGTTGAAATTAATTCAGTATTTCCCGTTGGAATGTTCGGCCTCCGTGTTAACATATTAGCTCGTCACACGGATGATGGGTGCTTGTCTCGAGTCTCAGTAGTAACATCACCACTCACAGAGGATGACAGGTACAACAGCTGGCTGACGAGTTCCCAAATGGGACGAAATGTACATCTTGGATTCTTCTGCAAGTCACCACCCATCAAATAACTCACCTACTTAACTAACCGATAATAAATCAGGAGAAGAGGGAAGGTTGAGCATAATAAGGCCACTATCTACTCCACCCCACTAAAAAGAAACGATACCACCGCGAAAGACACTTCAAAGCTTGACGCCCTAGGATTAACTCGGAATTAACTCGGTCTATGAGCAACACTTATCATGTGTGGGCTGATGATACTATCCAGTTGCCTAGGCTGAAGTAAGCACAGAGAGATTCGAACCCGGCACCCGTTAGCTTGAAGCCGAGTGTTTAAACCAGTGAGCCACATCTCCACGGACGGGACTGATGCGCGACGTTTAGGTACTTTGAATATTTGTGTAATTCTTGAATGTTTTCTAATTTCATTTGACTGCAATGAATTGAACAACTTCAGTAATCTAATGAGTGACGCTTTACCAAGTTAGGATTTCAGGGTTAAAACAGCAACTTACTGTAGCGTATTTACTAAGCGAAGGCTGAAAAGTCCTAAATATTAACAATAAAACTTGTCACGTTTAAAAGAATTTCAATGGTTATTTCTGTGGTTATCGGGGAGACTTTTACCCAGTTAAATTTGAAGCAACTTTCATTTATCGCCATGTTCAGATTCTATCAATACCAGCCTGCATCCTATTGATTAATAAGATTCAGGCTACACAGAGCTATTATCAAAAAACAAATTATTGGCTTGGTTGCCAAATGATATCAGTTGGAGAACCATTGGAAAACCAACAGGGAAGTATTGGATAGCGGTCTCGTCCTGGTTTGGGACTGCACATTAGTGCGCAATCACCAGCGCCTTCCGGTTACAAGTCTAGCTCGCAGAACACTCAGTCACCGAGTCCTGACTCAATGGGCCATGAATTCCAGCTTCTGATAATTAGCAATGTATATATACATATATATATATATACATCGCAACAACCAGCTGGTATTAAAGGTGAGTAACTATTCCCTTACCTGACTTGGTGGGAGTCGCTGGTAAGGTAAGAGGACAGTTAATTGCCGATAACATCGGCTGGTGGTTGGGTTATGTATCGCGAATCAATAAAAGCTGGAATGTATGGCTGAAGGGTCAACCAGCAGCTTTCCTTGTAACCAGAAGGTTCAGGGTTCAAACCCCCGTGGAAGAGTACTGCTTAATAGTCTTAAACTAGGACAAAACCGCTCTCCAGTACCCCCCTGTTGCCTTTCCAATGGTTCTCCAACTGATGTCAGCTCATGATAATAATAATAATAACCAATGAAATCTCTCAAAAATCAACAATTCAAAAAGCAAAAACAAATTATTATTATCATATATGCTTTCCACTGATAACAGTCCATCATACTATCTACTATAGTATACAAACATAAAATAGCCAGTGAACAAATGATGAACAGGACATGCCTGAAGAAAACAAAACGAAGATTTCTCCTCCCCCATAAAATAAATAAAAAAACAGTTTGTTTTTTTATTGTGAGATTAAAATCCAATCAAATTTGCACAATATGTCTGATACAAAAGGAAACAAAGAAACCTAATATATATTTATTGGGATATTAAAAGAGAGATTAAAATAAAGAATATATATGTAAATATATATAAATGGAGTGATGATTATGTTTCATAGATACGTAATGGTAATAACGATAATAATAGTAATAAAAAGAAGAAGAGTAAGAGGATTAAATTTGTGCTTCAACCACTGAACCGTCCGCAGCACCAGCGATAGGTACAATCAGATTATCCTTGCTCATAAGATTATATTTTAACACAAATGTTGTAAATCTTCGACATAATGCAGTTGATTCCTAGGCGGGGCGAGGCGGGGGTATTAACGAAAAATAAACAAACAAAACGAAAAACAACATCATTATCCTGATGATCAAATTTTAAGTGATAAACTTCAAAACTATTTGGTCAATAAAAATTATTATTATTATTACTGCTATTATTACATCATGATTGCTTTGTGTTCTGAATAAAACATAAGGGCTCCTCTTTAGCACACTGTTATTTCACCTTATTCTTTGTAGTCATTTTCAACTGGTTCTACGACTGATTCATTTCCATCCTCATACAATCCCTACGTCACCCTTAGACTCACACCCAACTCGTTGTTTCCCATATTAGTTCGCTTATTAGATGTATCACACAGTGATGAAACAGTATTATTTACTGGATGACAAAGTTTCGAACACAATTTATTGCTGTTCATAATCATATCAATTGTCATCACACGACTTCGAAACTTGAGTTTTCTAGTTTTCTTTGTCATCTCCTGTTTGTCGTCATAGGGGTAGAAGAATTGTCCAGATATCCGGGTGGACAGGCGTTGAATCATTCTTATTACATGCATTTGCAGTTGATTCGATAAACAAAGCTTCCCTTATCAATCTCTCCCAACCAATCTAGATTTTGCTATGTTTTTATGCCGCTCAGCTAGTCTGACTGCCCCTGCTCTACTAGTTTGACCTATATATTTGACCTGACAGTCATTGAAGGCAGAGTATTAGATAAACTACATGCACTGAGCACTACATGCAGTTACACACAACCATACAATAGGATGGGATAAGATGATAGTTTTTAAAATCTGATGCGACACGGTTGAGGGAGGGAGAGATTGATAGCAGAAGCTTTGTTTATCGAATCAACTGCAAACACATGTAATAGGAATGATTCAACACCTGTCCACCCAGATATCTGGACAATTCTACTACCCCTATGACGACAAATAGGAGATGACAAAGAAAACTAGAAAACTCAAGTTTCGAAGTCGTGTGATGACAATTGATATGATTATGAACAGCAATAAATTGTGTTCGAAACTTTGTCATCCAGTAAATAATACTGTTTCACACTGTGTGATACATCTAATAAACAAACTAATATGGAGTTACTTACTAACACAGTACCCAAGTTTTACACATATCGTTGTTTCCCATTTACGTTCTACTCGAGGACCTGATGCGTGATTTCAATAAATGGTTGTCTTAATGTGCATTCGATCCATCACTGTTTATTTCGGTATATTTGTTGGGCTCTTGGTTGGTTCACCACAATGCCAGAGTTATTTGCTTCTCATTATTACTCGTTATTTTATCTACGGTATGAAGCGAACGCAGCTGCCGATGAAAGTCAGTAACCTGTTGAAAAGCGGTGACGTGACATCTGAATTGAAGATCCGGATCTTGTTCCTTACGCTGAATCCAGTATATTTCTATGCTAATTTCAGAGTAAAGAAGATCTGTCCTGGCTGGCTTTGGCATCATCATTGGAACCTACAGCGATTGAAACGACGCTCACCAAGGTTTCTCCCGTTGATGGCGATTGATGCTCCTTGTTGTTGCTGTTGTAGTAGTAGGATAGCTTCATCCCTCCCATCTTCACTACGTTCTCCCGAATGGAGTCCTATCTTCGCTCCTTCCCTCTTCTGCCGACTTATTGGTTTTCACATGTAGATCTTCGAGTCTGTGACATCAGACACAAATCATCCACGAAGTCCAGATCTTCCGATGTCTCATCTCGTCGGTCTAACGTATGTCTGTCTTCTCAGGCCCCACAGTCTTCCGTATAATCTAGTCTACCACAATCAGCAATATCATCGGTGACAGTAGACAGTCTTATCGTACTCCTGTCTTCACTTCAAAGGCTTTGCTTAGTTTTCCGTTGTAAATTAACTGTCACGTGGCATTATCATATATAGCTGTTGAATAAGGTTTATAAAGATTTGGAAAACTCCGTAGTGCTGAGGCAATTTCAAAATTACTTCGTGGTCAACGCCGTCGAAGGTTTTTTCAAATTCGATGAAGTTGAGGTGCTCTGTGTCAATGATGACACGCAGCCTTGTCATTTGGTGCTTGGCCAATAACAATTGGATTACTTAAAGTGTCAGTAGGCTGCAACTCTCATCTGATATATGAGACATTTAATATTTCTTTCTCTTTATCTCATTTAAAGAGTCGGTGTTCGCACTAAATTGAAGGGGTTTAAAGGTATTTGAAACGATAAACTTGTTTGATTTCCTAGTCTAAGTATGTGGCCAGCCTTGACGTGGTGAAAACACTGTAAAGAAAAACACTTCAACCCAAATCTCAAATAAATTTTAAAGATTAAAAATAAAGCAGTGTAGTGCAGCAGTAACTACTTCCACAAAGCCAGACTGGACTTCAAGTATTCGATTAAGACAACGTCAGCTTTAGTTAATTGATCTATGTAAAGGTAAGCCGCCAAACAAGCAAATCACTCGAATACCCTTGTACATAACATTACCCATATAAACTTATTTCCTGGAAAAGGTTTTCCATGTTCTAGGTTGATACTACGTACAACTGACCAGGTTGAAGTAGGTGGGGGTTGCATGGGATTTGAATCTCAGGGTCACCGGTTGAATTTCGATTATTTAAGCCAATAAGCTATATCTTCACCGAAGTATAACGACAAGGATCCCAATGCCTGTCGTATGCCAAGTTAGAGATCTCCTGATCTTCATCAAAAACCGCAACTATTGAAAAACAAACATCTCCTGATTGACTCAGTGTTTCCTATGATACACTTGGTCTTGACAGTTTAGTACCACGTGTCTTAAATGGTATTTCACTTTTTTCCAAAGTGTATGAACTGGAAAATGATCCACGTCTACGTAATGTTCGAGGCTGACTTATCAGCCAATAATTTATTTGATAATTCTGACTTGGCCTGAGTTACAAATGGCTTTCAAAGCATGCAGACTATACACTGAGGCAGATTTAACACATAACGATCCACAATATCACCTAGATGTTTATGAATCAGTTAGTGGGGCAGCCTCAACACCCGTAGCCCACAGAGTTGTGGAACGACCTGACCTGGGAGAGCTCCATACATCATAGATTTACCTCATAATATAGTTTATATATGTGTACACAAACAGGTGCTCCCAATTTACTCTGGCTTCGAAAAAAATATATATTCACAACTGATGAGATAGTATATCACAGAATGTTCTAATCCACCAAGCGTGAACTGTGGTGGTGTGTACTTATAAAGCAGCTCGAATGAAGAAATCACATTCAAATTCTGTACTAAATGTAATAATGAGGGAAAATCAACCAATGAAAAGAGCTTCAGGGAGTGTAAAATGGTCAGGCATGTAGACAATTTCACGGTCTTGGAAAATAGTCAGTCGGGAGATGACGAAAATCCAAGATGGATTTAAAAAAGACTGACTTGGCTTTAATCAAATGGCTGCACCAAGTATTATGATAGTGAAAGTACAATCAGGTTGGAAAGAAGTTATCGGCAGTTAGACCGACATATGGCATTAATTCATGAAATTGTTGCTGATTATCAGTCGGAGCCATGTAGGGTGGTGTAAACTGGCAATAAGAATCTCTTGTCAGATGCTAGTGGCAATACTGTTTAAAATCACTGGTCTTTGTGAAAATACATTTATGCACCGTTTCCATCATAATTGTACCGTTTTCATCCTTTCTCTAGTTTATCTTACCTCGTTAGTTTTATAACACTATCCAACTTATTGGTTTCATTATTCTCAATTCTTTTAATTGATAAACAGACATAAACTATGGCAACTTTGACATATACGTGACAATATAAAGTCTACCTTGACATTGTCACTAGTACTATTTCAAGTTTGATCACAGATTGAACCATTGAAAACCAAGGGGTACTGGATAGCTGTTTCGTCGTAGTCCTGGACTCTTCACCAGTGCACAACCGCAGAAGCCATCAGGGATCGAATCTCGGGAACTCCAGATTATGAGGCCAAGATCGCTGATCATTCAGCCAATTGGGCCGGAATTCAATGAACTGTGAGTTCTAACTTCTGTATATTTGCCGTTTTAGCAACAACGCCAACCGATATTCATGGAGTATGTTACGCATTGGACCCCATGGGTCACAACTTCTAACTAGAACTTCCGTAGCCAGTCACTAGTGAGTATCAGACTAACTATTAATATTATTGAAAAGCAATAATAACAACTGTAATAATAGTGGTATTATGCACTTCATTTACGTAGTAAAAGCTATAAATACGTACTCAGCTTCATTTACAACTAAACAATTTAAGCCACTGACCTATAATATTCTACAATTAACCACGAAGATAACCACCCAATTATAAGAATTACAAACAAACTGCAAGGCATGATTATTAATAATCAGCAATAAGCACAAGAACAAAAAATAAACAACAAAAGTCAACAACTTACTTCAAAGGCATCAAATATCTCTCGATGATGGTAGTAAGCATGAGAAAATATTCTGTACACCCGACGACATACAGAATCAAGACGACTAACTGAGGTCACTTTAATGCTTACCCTATATAAATAACAGAGAGGAAATATTTACAATATCAAAAATTGACAATAGACTAATTACCGACTGGGGAAGTATTTACTGTTGTTCAATAGGCAAGCAGCGCCGTCAAGTGTATGCCGAGTATAATCGACAGCTGGACACTGTACAAAGGGAAGAATAAATCAAAAAAAACACGTGAAACAAAATAACCTCAGAAGAAGAATTCAAGATAAATTATTTAATTCAAGGTACAGATCGAAGTTCCTCATATAAGATCTAACATTACTTTTAGGTTATTTCTTCGCGTTCCAACTGTAACAAACTTGAGTTCGGAAGTTTCAGTAGAAGTGATTTTTCTTTTTATGGGGTGATGTTGCTATCCTCATGCACACAACTTTCCGATTGTAAGACCCGTTGGGCGAGATTTAGGAGTGCATCAGCAGGGAGTCGAACCCCACACAACTTGCATGGTTGCCGAGTGTTCTAACACAGAGCCACCAACGCTGTGATAAAAGTGTACATTATTAGTTTTAAACATATGTGACTATGCAAACCAGTGCATATATAGTAGTTTTAAAAAGTATTTATAAATTCTAATGATTGCCAAATATATGGGGCCTGATTCATATTAACATTAACAAGCTACTTGTTCCAGTACTCAAAAAAAATTAATTACCTCTTTAGGTGTTTTATGCGCAGCACAAAGAAATATCCATTGTTCTGTCGCAGTCATTTGAGGACACGTTTTCGGTGTACACTGCTCTTGCAAACGTACAGCTAAGCCATTTAGTTCCATACAAAACTGTCTTAAGTGTTCATACTTCCAAACAAGCTCATCTTGACCCTCTGGAGCAGTTAAAATCTCATCGACATTATTAAAATCCCGTCTTATTGTTTGTTGTATATACTAGAATGCAATATATCCTTTAGGAAAAAAAATAATGAAATACTTGTTGGACAGCAAGAGTACTTTCCATATCTTCAAATGATTCATCAGGCCAATTACACCACTCCTTGAAAAAAAAAGGTTCGACCCAATAAAACATTAAAACTAGTTTACCTCTGCTTTTGTACCAGGTCTGTTCCGTCGGACACAAACTTTTCCGGTTGCCATTGCCTACAGAGTAAATTGAAGAAATAACATGAGATTGGTTTCGACTACATAGGCATTATTTTAAACGTGTCAGAATGGAAAACATTCATAGATTTTTCTCAATTTAAAAAATAGAGTAGTAGAGTAGTTTTAAAATTTTTACTTCTATAGTGTTTAAAACTAATTTCCAGCACAAAGACAGTATCCTAGTCAGACTGTTCAGAAGACTGAAGAATTGTGGAAACTAGGACTACTACTGTCGTCTGTGTGGAGATCAACAGCACTCAGCATGAAAATGAAAATAACATCCGGATCTTCAACTCCAATGTGAAGTCAGTGCTACTCACTATACGGATCACAAACTTGGCACCACGTCACGGAGGGCACTTCGAACAAACTACACACCTCCATCAACAGCTGCCTTCGCTCAATACTACTCAAGATCAGGTGGCCGGCCAGAAAAGATCAGCAACAGGGATCTCTGGCGATGAACGAACCAACCCAACAGGAACCGATTGTGCAACAAATATGCAAGAAGAAATGTAGATGGATTGGACATACCCTGGGGAAACAAACCATCAAGTGACATCACACGCCAGGCTCTCTCTCGAGTGGAACCCGAACGGGAAGCGGCGAGTTGGTCGTCAGTGAGAGAGTGACATGGAGGAGGAGGTCGTGTGAAGAGGAGATGAAAGCATGTGGGCAGACGTGGAGCCAAGTGAAAAGGTTGGCAGAGAGCAGAAGGCAATGGAGACGTGTGGCTGAAGCCCTGTGTTCCCCTAGGAATTAAAGGAAACAATAATATAATAATAACACTACTACTGTCTAGTGACTCAAACTGAAGAAGACAGAGCGAATTTCGATCTACTACACGAATGTTAGGCCATTGCTCTAAAAATACTCAAAATAAACCCAGAAATTTGTATAGAATATATCGCGTGAAAACATGGAAGAGGTTTAATAATCTGCTGAATGGTTTTACTATATTCTAGTTTTTGGTTCAAATAACCAAATTGGATGTGTTTATCAGACGGAGTTTTTAAGCTTAAGTAGTCTCCACTTGCACATTCACAGATTGCAATTCTTACAAAATAAAAGTTTATTTTATCAGCTGTATATTTCGCTGCAAATTATAAAATGCTTAAACGCAGTCACATTAGTTGGCTTATAAACTGAATTAACTTAGTCGGAACAGCATATCAGGAAATTATTATTATTATTGTTCGTTGCCCTCGTTCCGAGCGGAACAGAGGGCTCCAATAACATTTATGTGAATATTTATGACTGGACATTTATCTGAGCACAACAGAGGTATTTAACCTGAAGTATGACGCTGCAGCAACACATTTTAGGATAGCTGATCAAATACAGTTAGTGATCAGTAAAAGCTATTGGATTTGTGTAGTCTCATCCGAACTGAACAGTACAAGAAGACTGCTTCCACAAGGTTCCAAACACGACAAGAATAGAAAACTCTTTAAACGCTAACTCAATAAGAGATCTCGTGACAGTGGTGAATGAGAAAAATATAACAGACGTTTGTAATACTTAGTGCCCGTCAACAATTTAGGCACACAAAGAAATAAATCAACCACAGATTGTGGATTCCAGTGGTGTAACTTCTTTCTCCTTGACTAGAAACGTTAGATGAGATATTTACACCTCAAAAATATGCTGTTACTCAGAGGAAAGCATAACAAAAAACCCTAACGTCAATAACTGTTGATTTGCACCACTTAAGTTAGATTGTGTCACCAGTGTCCATAAGATTTACACGACCAATACCTGGAGACTTCTAGCAATAGCCTAAAATCATTTACAATGGTACTAATGTACTCGCTTATTTTATCTTCAGTCATTAGTAATCATCATATTATTTCCGTTGTCACAATTCTGAAACTTTTTCATCTATGCTTTTCTTTAAACTTACTTCTTTGAACCCATGCATGTCTGCGCAGCTTTGCGTTTATTCATCAGGTAGATAATCACAAAAAGTGTTCATCCGATTTCGAAACAAAAACACATATTATTTGACTGCAGTTTATAAGAAACCTATTACCGAAAAAGTCCTAGACTAAATTTGTCTTGAATCAAACAATAATATTCTTGTTTCATTAATTTCTAGTATTCATGCTTTACATTCAAGGTACTCACGTCGAGACCATGCGTTAAGACTGTGCACATGAAAACAAACAAATCGGTTTGATTAGACAATTCATTTCAATTTATCTCAAGTGGAAATAAACCATTCTATTATTCATTAAACAACTAATTATACTTAAAACAAAAGGCTTAAGCCCTTTGTAAGACAGAACTGGAATTAAGAGGTAAGCCGCTGAAGTAAGATACATATTAAAATTTCAGGACTATTGGCAATAACCTGCACTTTTGCAGGTTGCAGCGTGTCACTGCTTTGTCCTATTCTCAGTATAGTCACAATACTTATCAACTAAATGTCCAACATAGACACAAGTTTTCAGGCGCTTTAAATGAAATAAATTGCTCTAAAACTTTGTAAATTATAAAACGCTGCTCTTTTGACTGTGTGATAACTTCACTCCAGGTCAAAATCTCCCATAAATCGTAAATTCCAGAATTCGGAGATTGTCCTGGAGTCACTGAGCGAAAATATGGCGTCGCCTTGAGCTACTTACCACTCAGAAATGTCACGCGAAGAATTATAGAAGGTTATTTATATGAAAAATAAGAGGTTCATCTCCAGCCTGAATTAATACTGAAAACCGGAATAAAAAACAGCGATACAAAATAGAATGTCGACCTTGAAACTGAAATCACCTCCACGAATCCAATATATTCAATATAAATAAATAAATAAAATAAATAAATTTATTCTCATAGTACAGTACATGAGGGACGCCAGTTTACAGGCATCATCAAATTGTTGCAGAAATAGAACCATATAATTTAATCACAATTTACAGCCAGTAGCAAGATATGCTTTACATGTTCGCTGGAGATTATACATACACTTGATAAATGTTAATTCCAGTAGTATAAAACAGCCTTTTCACTTATATACAATCATTTCTGTGCAAAGTTGGAATAATCTGCTAGACTGTCAGTGAGTGCAACACAACAGGAAATACAGGAGTATTGTCTTCGCATTAACAAAAAAACCAGGTCTTTGGTGGATGGATTATAAGTGCCTGGGAAAAAAATAAAGCTTGCAGTAAATATTCATACATAACTTTGTTGTGTGCAGAGTCCTCGAATTATAGTTCATTGATGTGTTATTTTGAAATCAGTGATGTGTTTATCTCATTTGATCTGCAATGTCATTGTTGGGAGTAAGTACATAAGCTTCGGACGCATTAATTAATGGATTTCTACTGCTTACGGGTATTTTCTTAGCGTTAGGAAGGTTTATGAGTTTTAGCTGTTCCGACAGGAGTTGAGAATATTAACTGCTCAGCAACATTATTGATATAAGTTCATCACATTATCTAAGGAAAGGTGGGTTGCAGTTGGTGAGGGATATATGGTGCCCAACGAGCGTTCATCTGTCCTTGTGATGTTGTGGTGAGTTATACCTTTTTCATGTTGTCGGTTTATGTCCATTTTATTCCACTTATTGTGTTGGGTAGTAGTTTTACAAACGAGATTTGTTGTCTGTTTGAGGATACGTATCTTAACCGTTAATGCTTTATCTAGAATTATAAATATAGGCAAAAAACAACAGGTGTAGTATTTAAGCTTATACATTAAATGGACCTATAATTTCGGAGGCTCTCAGATAGGAACTAGAACTACTATCGTTTGCAAACTCTTGTAGTTTGTCATTAAGCACTTTTTTGAAGGAGGCCAATGTACTTGCTTGACGCATTTCCATTGGCAGTTTATTCCATATCTGTGCATACCTAATCAAGTAAAACTTTTGCCTGGTGGCTGTTTTACATTGTTCGATAGCTACTGTACCCTTAGTGTGTCTTAGTTTGTAACCATTGTCATCTGAAAGTCGAGTGCCATTAGTAGAGGTAAAAACTAAGTGGTTTAGAAGCTTATAGTAAAGTGTCAAGTTTAGTCTCAGGCGTCTTAGCCATAGTGTTTCTAGTCCTAGGGTGTCACATCTAGTGGAGTAGTTCGTACCATTTTCAGTTCCGAGTGATTTTAACGTGAAGTACCTCTGCACTCCCTCGACTTTCAATTTGTCCTCTATGCGTATGCTACTATAAATGAATGAACAGTAATCAAATAAAGGACGCACACAAACCTTGTACAACAGAATTCTAGACTCATTTCTGTAGAAGTTCCTGAGTAGAAAGCCGATAAGTCTGCGTGACTTTGACACTTGTTTGGAGATATGTTCAGAAAATGATAACTTATGTGAATATTTCAGCCCTAGGTCCAGTACAGATTCCAGTCGTTGAAGTGCATGGCCTTGAATTGTCAGGTCAAGTTCTAAATTGTTGCAACCTATGCAGAGCCAGCCACATTTTTCGACATTAAATTGGAGTTGCCAGGTGTCACACCATCTATCCATTTTTTCTAATTCTTGCTGTATGGCGTTTACTGTTATTCCAAGATCTGTGTTCTTGCATTTATACGTCACTTTTAAGTCATCTGCATATAGTATTGGTTTACCTACACTAAGGCATTCACAGATACTGTTTATATATATTATGAATAAGAGTGGGCCTAATACACTTCCCTGGATTACACCACTACTTACTGGTTTAGGCCTTGAGATTATCGAGCCAACTTTCGTTGTCTGACTTCGGCCACAGAAAAATGATTTTATCCAGCTCAGGAGAGGATCACATCCCTAGTGAGCATAACCTGCTGACTAGCAGATTATGGGGAACTCTGTCGAAGGCTTTTGTTATATCGAAATAGAGCACAATTACTAGTTCTCTGTTGTCCCTACTTCGTGTAACTTCATTGAAAAAGTCTATGTGACAGGTCACACATGATCTCTTTTTAAGAAATCCGTGTTGTGATGGATTGATAAGTTCATGTTCTAGTAAGTTGTCTGACACTTGGTCTTTAACCACTTTCTCCATTATTCGGGATATTACCGGTGTTATATTGATAGGTCTATAGTCGCATACACTGGTTTTGGCCCCTGCTTTGTGCTTAGGTAAGATGTATGTGGTTTTCCACACTTCAGGATAAGTTCCAGTTTCCAACGAGAGAGTAAATATTCTAAGTAACAAGACTACCATTTCCGTGCTACCATTTTTGTACATGACAGATGGCATGCCATCTGTTCCAGTACTACCATTAGACTTCAAAGTCTTAATCGCTGAGTCTATATTTTGTATATTAAAGTCTATTCCGCCTAATTTGTGGTTGCTTTTGCAGGTCATTTGGAAATTTGGGGTTGGGTGCACTCTGGCGTCATTGCAAAACCACTCATTGAGGAGTTCACTTATAACCTGGGGATCATTGTATATTATACCCTTATGCTCCAAGCTGCTTACAGTATTGTCTTTACTACTTTTTAGACGTCTCTGCAATATCCTACAAAGTTCCTGAGTTTTGGAGTTACCCACAAGCGCTTTATATGGTCTTGCAGGATAGCTTATACATAATCAACTTATTTGAAGTCACTTTCAAGTGGCGATCTTTGGTGGGCTTTTGAGCGTTTCACTGTCGTACTAGCCTGTCTCAGCTTTGATACACTATAAGAAGAGCAATATGGAATGCAGATTTGATTTGCGGTATGCTTTGTGATCCACTATGATCCACTTTTAGTCCCTACGCCCGTTAGTCCTCCGATTTGGTCAGCAAGCGATATAATAACAGTATTATAATTAACTGCAAATATTCGAATTTAAATAGAAAAATAGGTGGATAATTAAAATGAAAATATGCGAAATGATTAAATAATCATTTCTATGTAACGGCTATTTGTAAGTTTGGTAGAGTAGACATTCTAGTGTTACTCAGCGAGCGGCTGGCCGCTAAAGAAAACGGAAAGACGGACTATTATGTAGTTTGTTCCTTTTTTGAAGTGGTGCAATTTTTATCCGGTGGGCATAAGGGTGTGTCACTAAAAATGCAAGAATATACCGGCTTGATTTCATGAAAATTCAATAATACACATTTAACCTGTGAACTGACTGTCTCCTTCATTCTAGTACATCACGCAGATATTAGTACCAGGCAATATTTCCTGATGAAAGTTCAGTAAACGTGACGCCTTTCCAGAATATAACCTCGCCTAGCTCGTTAATTTTCTAGCCGGTCCCAAGCCCGGGTAAAGAGGGAAGGTTGGGCGTGGGGCTAGCAACCCTTAACTAGTAATTCCTTCAAACAGCTAAAGAAACTTAAACACACAGAAAATATATTAAAAATACAAAAACTTCAGATAAAAATTTTTTTCGCTCGAATCGGAACCTGACTGGGGAAAGCCTTCGTAAAGCCATTCAGCCAATGTGTCTTCTCTCGATGAGAGCAAGAGTGAGAATGGGTACGTGGAATGTCTGTACAATGGACGAGACTAGGAAGGATGCCCAGGTAGCCAAAGACATGGGAAGATATGGCTTAAATGTACTGGGTATCTGCGAAAGCAGATGGAATGGATGTGGATTGACAACGTTGTCAACGGAAAAGTCAATAATCTACTCCGGTCTGGTCCCAAAAACGACAATTACGAACACACTGAAGCAGTGAGTGGCCATCATGATGTCACCAGTGGCAGCCAAAGCCTTGATGCAGTGGGGACCAATTTCATCCAGGATCATGACAGCATGATTCCATGCAAAAGGAGGGAAGGTAACAATTATCCAATGCTATGCACACTGCTAACCTCGCCTAGATTACTAGGTCACTAGTATTCTAGCCGGTCCCAAGCCCGGATAAAGAGGGAGGGTTGGGGCGTGGTACTAGCGACTCCACCCTCAAAACTTAACCAAATTGCTACTAAAACTTCAACGCACAAATATATTCAAAATTCTAAAAATACAAACAATAACCTTATTTTTCGCTGGAATCGGGGAAGTGAAATGACGGAGGCTGGTGAAAGCCTTCGGGAAGCCAGTCAGCCGATGTGCCTTCTTTCGATGGAAGCAAAAATAAGGATGGGGACGTGGAACATTGGTACAATGTACGAAACTGGAAAAGCTGTTCAGGTAGCCGCAGAAATGAGGAGATATAAAATAGAAGTGTTGGGAATCTGCGAGAGCAGATGGAACGGATGCGGAAGTGCCAACTACCAACTGGAGAGACAATAATCTACTCCGGTCACCCGGAGGACGATCACGAGCACACCGAGGGAGTAGCCATCATGATGTCACCAACAGCGGCTAAGGCCCTCATGCAGTGGGAACCAATCTCCTCCAGGATAATGACAGCCGGGTTCAACTCAAAAGGAAAAAAGGTTACAATCATTCAACGCTACGCGCCTACAAACGTATCAGAACATGAGAAGAAGGAGGATTTCTACAGTCAACTACAAACAGTGATGGACAACGTCCCAAAGAGCGATATCAAAATCCTGATGGGTGATATGAATGCGAAATTGGGAGGAGACAATACAGGAAGAGGACTCACCATGGGTCGCGAGGCCCTCGGTGAAATGAACGAAAATGGTGAACTCTTCTCAAACTTTTGCGCCTTCAATGATTTGGTGATTGGTGGCAGTGTGTTCAAACACAGGGATATACACAAGGCAACATGGATTTCACCAGATGGACACACCGAAAACCAGATAGACTTCATTTCAATCTCAAGGAAGTGGAGACGCAGCCTACTGGACACAAGATCGAGGAGAGGAGCAGATGTGGGTTCAGACCACTATCTAGTACAGGGGACTTTCAAGGTGAAGCTGAAAGC